ATTCAGGTTTCTGATCGGGGGGGGGGGGGTCTTCCTTCTTTCGCGAGTCCGGTTCCCTCTTCCCGAGAAGACGGTGTGGGGCGCGCTGGTGGGCTCCCACAGGTCCAGGTTTGGGTGACTTAGGGCGCGTTATCGCCCCGAGCGGGCGGGTTCCTGGGCGGAAGCCCCGAGTGAGCAGGGCCGTCAGGGAAGACTGGCCGGGTGGGCCCAGCTAGGGGTGCCGGTTCCGCGTTCCGGCCCGAAACCAGAGCCGCGCGTGTGGAGGGTCGGCCCCTGCGCGGCGACCACGAGTGGTGTTCTCCGAAGACCATGTGTCGGCTTGTTTTCGAACCCCGGCCCTTCCCGGGAGTCCTGTTTGGACTGGCACCTAGGCGGCCGGTGAAGCTGGGACATTTTGCATAGCGTCGTGGGTAGAGCCAGAATCGTGTGTGAGCATCTCTGCACATCGGTTAACACACCAGTTTGCCCGACAGCACGGGAGAGGAAAATAAGATAAGCTTAGCCATAACATGGCAGTTAGAGCCTCCTCCCGACCCCTGGAGGTGGCGTTCTCCAGTCTTAGGTCACTAAAACGTTGCAAGTGCTCAAGATGGGGATGAGGCGGTCTCAGAGTTGCCGGTGCTTATTTAAGGAGTCAGTGCTGGTAGAATATGTGCAACCCTTTAAAAAATGTATATTCTGATATTTGCTTATAGGATTCGGTGACTTTTCTTCCGTGCCTGAACTTCAAAAGGAACCTGGTCCAAGAGGCCCTTTTCTGACCATAAAAATGAGCCCTGCAGATCCACTGTAAGCCTTCGACTTCTTAACCATGATCACTTAAAAGGAAAACTTAATACTTTGAGGAAAACAAAACCTCATTGTGAACAGAACGGTCGTCCAAAACACCATGTCCGCCTTTAATCCCGGCACTTGGGAGGCAGAGTAGGTGGATCTCTGAGTTCGAGGCCAGCCTGCTTTACATAGAAAGTTCCAGGCCAGCTGGGGTTACAGGGAGACCCTGACTTGAAAGAACCAAACAAAAAACCACTTATTTGGAATGTTTAAAAGTCCTGGGGCATGGTGGTGCACACCTGTAGCCCCAGCACTTAGGAGGCAGAGGCAGGCAGATCTCTGTAAGTTCAAGGCCAGCCTGGTCTACATAGTTCCAGGACAGCTGGGGCTACAGGGAGACCCTGTCTCAAAAAGACCGAAAAAAAAAAAAAAAGTCAACAGGATGTGCTTATTAATAAGAAAGAGAAGATGGAGCTATGAATTAGTGTCTTGTGTTTTCTTACATTGCTATGCAAAAAAATCTTATTTTCTTAGGCTTTGCCTTAAAATATTGAATCTATAAAATAACCTTTTGGAGTAATATTTTTAGTAATGAGTTAGTTGAAAATGAATTTGAGGGGTTGGGGATTTAGCTCAGTGGTAGAGCGCTTGCCTAGCAAGCCCAAGGCCCTGGGTTCAGTCCTCAACGCCGGGGGTGGGGGGGGATATGAATTTGAATGAAATGAAAATAAAAGGACTGTAGAAGTCAGTTTGGTTTCAAGTTCTTGGTTAAGACTAACAGTGTGAAGTTGGAAAGGTCAGGTTCATTTTGAGTTCTAACGAATTCATGTAAAAATACCCATTCTAGGGCTGGGTGTGGTGGCGCACGCCTTTAATCCCAGCACTCGGGAGGCAGAGGCAGGCAGATCTCTGTGAGTTCAAGGCCAGCCTGGTCTACATAGTGAGTTCCAGGACAACTGGGGCTTCAGGGAGACCCTGTCTCAAAAAGACCAAAAAAAAAAATAAGTAAATAAATATCCATTCTATTGAGAGATACAGCCATGTGAGCTGAGTAGTGTAGCGGTCAGAACTTTATACGTGAAATTATTGAACCAACTAAAGACCAGTCTTGTTGGAAATGTCTTACATAAACATGAATTACGGAGTTACATGCAAAATATTTTAAGTTTATGATGGTTCAGTGGAATTCGCTGAGTTTTTATCACTGTCCTGCTTTTGAGCCCATTTCTGCTGCTTAACTGTGTGATGTCCAGTTTCTTCTCTCTTGGGCCTTCGTAGTTTTCAGGGATTATAAGGCCTTCCTCTTTTCCTGTGTGAGTTGACATGAAATTGTAGCTATAAAACTTATCTTTTAAAAAATATTTTTAAAAATTTTTTATGTATATGGGTGTATTACCTACGTGTAGGTAAGTGTAGCTATGTCATGCAATGCCCAAGGAGGTCAGTTTCCCAGGAACTGGAGTTACTGACAGTTGTTAGCTGCCATGTGGATGTTGGTAATTGAACCCAGGTCCTCTGTAAGAGCAGCCAGTACTCTTAGCTACTGAGCCAGCTCTGCAGCCCCCTCCCGCAAGTATCTTTAAAGAATTAAAATTTACATTAAGTTTAAGTGATCATTGATAACTTAAACTGTTGGTTCACATGTTAAACAATTCTGTTTTGTTAACCTAGCCAAATATTATTAATGAAAAATTGGGTAGACAGGGGAACCCAGCAGATGTTTTCAGGGGCCTGAATGAAGTTGGTAGCATATTAGTATAAAATCTACTTTTATACTTACGAAGACTTTTAAAACTTGTCATTCCTGGAAAAATGCAAAATGAGATAAATGGAATTTAGAAAGTGATGAAAGCCTTTTGGATTTTTGTGGTGGAGCAGCAGGAGAACAAGCTCTACGGTCTGGGTTACCTGGGAGTGTATAAAACTGCTTATAACAAGGTTCCAGATTCTCAGAGTAGGTAGGGAACACTTACAATTTTGTGTGCATTTACTCCCTGTTGAATTTGTGGTTAGGGAAACATGTTAAAGACCTGTTAGATACTTCAAATTTTCAGATAAGGTTGAAAAGACTAGAAAAATGATTTTGTTGCATAATTGCTATTATTTTATGTTTAGGATTCAATTTACTTGAATATCCTTTTAATGAATACATTGACTGTCTTTTTTTTTTTTTTAACACAGTGACGATGAAGACACATTTAAAATCCTGGTCGCCACCGATATTCATCTTGGATATTTGGAGAAAGATGCAGTTCGCGGAAATGACACATTTGTTACACTGGATGAAATTTTAAGACTTGCCCAGGAAAATGAAGTGAGTTTGGCTTGCATTAGTGCAAGTTCTACTGTATTTGTTAGTCAACAGCTCTTTACCCTTAAGTGAGATTTATTTAATTTTATAAACTTATATACTCATGTTTCCTGATTAAATATCAATACAGTAAAATAAATAATTATCAGCAATTTGGGTAACCTCTTCAGAGGATGATGTGATAAGAATAGGAGGTAGGAATTGGCTAGGCAGTTAGGGTAAAAAGACCCCAAAGAAAAGTCGCTAGTTTCTTGGCTAAAAGTCAAAATGTCCTTGGGCCTCTTACCAACATACTCTGTTCCAAAGGCCAAAAATGTCAAAAGTATTTGGGAGCTTTTATCTAATCCTTAAAAGATTTTAGGGTTACCTTTTCAGAGGGGGGAATGTTAAGAGTAGCAAAAAGCCCCATAAAAAGAAAAGAAAGAATGCATGAAGTTCTTAGAAAAATGTGATGGGAAGATATGGGAGGAGTTGGAGGGGAGGGAGTGGGTGTGTATTTGATCAAATACCTTAGATGCTTATATGAAATTCTCAATAAATTAAAAAATGTATTCCATGGCAAAATAATAATTTTCAGTATACTCAAAGCCCAAAGCAAATTTTCAAGTGCTTTGTGTCCTTAATTCAAGTAGAAGTTACTTTGATAAATAACCTTCAGATTTATATAATGGGGTTCCTAATGAGTGCACTGATCTGTTGTAATTTGTACATGAAATGAAAAGATGGTTATAGTTCTCAAAGAACATAGAGTAAAGCAGAATGTGCGGGGACAGAGTGCACAGATGGCAGCGCGTTTGTGGTACAGCCACAAGAAAATGATGAGCAGCATCTCTGGGCCTTCAGAGGCGGAAGGAGATTGGTTTTTAAATGAGGCTATCAAGGAAGCAGCGGTTAACGTGTGTTGAAGGAGGGCACGAGGACGTATGTTCCAGGTGAAGCAGAAGTAGGGCACACAGGTAAAGACAGCATAGTGTGCTAGAGGACGGGGCAGGTCTGGTTCCCTTCTGGATCACGAGTCAGAATGTACGTGGAAAGGGAGCCAAGATGGTAGCTTTGTTGGTAGGATACTTGGCTTCCATGCACAAGGCCCTGGGTTTGAGCCCCAGCACCTTACAAGATGGAGTGTGGTGGTGCACACCTGTAATACCGACACTCGGGATGTAGAGGCAGGAGGATCGGATGTTTAAGGTCCAGAACTACATAGTGAGTTCCAGGATAGCCTGGGCTACATGAATGAGACCCTGCCTTTAAAAAAATATTTATTAATTTCATGTTATATGTATAAGGGTTTTGCCTGCATGCGTGTACGTGCACCATATGTGCAACGCCGTGGAGTGCAGCAAGAGGAGGCTCTTAGATCTCCTGGAAATGCAGTGATGGTGGACTAGCTGCTGTGTGAACTGAACCTTGGTCCCCTGCAAGTGCTCTTAACCCCTGAGCCATCTCTCCAGCCCCATCAAATTCATCTTTTTATTGCTTTGTTTGATTTTGAGACGAGGTCTTACTATATATCCCTGACTGGCCTGAAACTGACCATGTAGACCAGGCTGGCCTTGATCCCATAGAGATCCGCCTGCCTCTACCTCCTTAGGGCTGGGGTCAAAGGCGGGCGTTCATAGTGTTCCTTGAAGGCCTTGAAGGCCTGTCTTAGGGCTCACAGTTTTACTAAAGTTCCCAAGACTACTACAGCCACAGAGCACTGTACTTCAGCGTCTCCTGAAGGATGGTGAACTTTCTTCCCTCCCTCCTTCCCTCCCCCCTCCCCCCCCCTCTTCTCTTTTCTTCTTTGTGCTGGGATTGAATCTAGGGCCTAGCATGGGTGTTGAACCTGGTAGTCCAACCCTGTACCACTGAGCTCTCCCCAGCCCTCACCCCACTCCCGTCCTTTATTAAGCCAGTGTCTCACTGTGTTGCTCAGACTGATCACTCAAAGTAGCAGGCTTAAGTGATCACAACCAGGCTGGGAGATCGTTTTGACCTCTTCTATAGTTTAAAAAATTTTTTACCTTAAAACCTACTAATTTTAGCTCTGTTTTCTGTTGATTAGGTGGATTTTATTTTGTTAGGTGGTGATCTTTTCCATGAAAATAAGCCCTCGAGGAAAACCCTGCACACCTGCCTTGAATTACTCAGGAAGTACTGCATGGGAGATCGCCCTGTGCAATTTGAAATTATCAGTGACCAGTCTGTCAACTTTGGTTTTAGTAAGTAAGTATGTTTGAGAGAAGGTTTACTTGATGTGGTTCACTTCCTGTTATGTCATGACACGGAAGCAACTTCAGGGAGAGAGTGTTTACCTGGCTTGTAATGCCAAGTTGCAGTCCTCTTTGTGGGAGGTCGAAGCAGGACCTGAAGCAGCTAGTCTCATCCAGTCAGGAGCAGAGTGAACACCTTGCTTCTTTTGCTGTCAGCTAGCTTCTCCATGCCCTGTGGTCTAAGACATGGGGCCTGGGGCCGCCCATGGGCCTGGGGCCACACCCGTTCATGTCCTCAAGGAAGGCAGTCCTCCACAGACTTGCCCCCAGGCCATCCTGATCTAGGCAGTTCCTCATTGAGACTCTATCCGGGTGATTCTAGATTGTGTCAAGTTGACAAAGTCAGCTATCACAGCGTGTAAATGCATTCTCAACTAGCTGTTTGCCTTCACTGTAGGCTGTTTTCAGAAGTATATCTATTTCCTGAATTTTCAGTATATCTGTATTAGTTATTTCTTAACTAGTACTGGGATCAGGTAGCTTAGGTCCCACCTCCCCTGCTCTCCTTTCTGTCCATAGCTTTGGCTACTTTAAAACTTAGGATAGCTTTGGCTTCTTGACATGATTTGCAGATGCTACTTATGTATTCTAGATACTGAGCGTTTTCAGGCAGGTAGTTTTCCCCAGTCAGTGGCTTTTGACTTTGTTTACTCCTTTTTTCCTTGCTATGTAATACTTTTGTATGTTTCTGTGGTTACAGTTTGAGAAAATGCAACAGAAATTGCTAACATTAGTATCTGTAGATGAGAAAGCTGATGGTGGGGGGTAGGGGGAATCCGAGTGGGCAGAGGACCAGTTTGATGAGGGGGCGGGTGGGGGGTGGGGCAGAGCTTGCACATGGGGGAGATGATGGGGCTAAGCTGGGAATCCCAGTGTTCTGGACTCCAAAGTGCCTGTGTTTTCTTCTCTGCTATGAGGAGGAACCTCAAAGAAAGGTTCTTACAGTTTTAGAAGCCTAGTAACGCCCCTCATTCATACAACCCATAAATAATTTGGTGTTGGGGTTTATTTAAAATGTACTTTAAGATACTTTTTCAAACTTTTAACTGAAATGAGTTGTTGCCTCCAGCTTTAGTTTCTAAAGCTCTGAGCTGGGTGGTCTGCCTCTGAGCATCTGTCGTTGCCTAGTGTGCTACTGTTTGGGGAAGAGGGTCTTGGAGTGGCAGCCTCTGCCCCTTGCAGTGACTTGCTGGTCTTCTTTTAAGGTTTCCATGGGTGAATTACCAGGACGGGAATCTCAACATTTCCATCCCAGTCTTCAGTATCCACGGCAATCACGACGATCCCACGGGGGTAATCACACTTTGTTGGACTCCTGGAATGCGCGGCTGGGCTGGGTTCATCTCTACAAAGTACTCTGCCCCTTTTCTTCTAGAAACTCATAATTAAATTGAGCAGAGAAGTCAAATTAGTTTATTACCATTAATACAAGCAGTTATAATACAGTTAGATTTTGTTTAGTTACATTTATTTATTAATTGTGTACGGGAGACATACATATGCCATGGTGAGGGTGTGGCGATCAGAGGACAGCCCAGAAGCCTGCTTCCTCTTTCCACCACGTGGGTCCTGAGCTCGAGCTCCAGTGGTTGTGTTTGGCAGCAAGTGCCTTTACCCACTGAGCCATCGCTCCAGCCCTTAGATGCTCTTTAAAAAGATTTGGTGTTTGAGAAGGCTGTGCTTTTTTCAAACATCCTTGCAGTGTTGGAGGTAAGCCAAGGTCTTACACCTGCTGGGCACTCTCTCTGCCATCCTCAGCCCTCTGTTCACTTTTTATTTTGAGACAGGGTCTCACTAAGTTGCCCAGGTTTGCTTTGACCTTGTTCTGTAGCCCAGGCAGGCCTTGACCTTGCAGTCCTGCGGCAGCCTCTCTGTCTCAGTAGCTGGGAGTGGCCTTGACCTTGTAGTCCTATGCAGGACTGTTCTTTGCCTTACCAGTGCTTAGTGGCTCTTGAAGTCTCCCCTTAGGAAATGATGTTCTTTGTGAGTGCCTATGTCTAAATAGATTTAATAACCTGTTTGATAAGGAGGTTGGACTGGATGCCCCCAATGCATAGTATCTTTGTGCCTTATCCTGTTGTTGCTACCCAAGTCTTTAGTTTACTGTATGGTCTTCCCCCTGGTATACAAGAGGCCTACTTAACATTACAGTGCACTCATTTCATGGCTGATCTTGTGTTTTTAGTGACCAGGCACCCGATAGGAGCTACTAGCCTTGTGTTTGTTGTGTTGGTTCCAGTCACTGTAGGTGTTCGCAGTAGGAAAACAAGGGAGCAGACACATTAACATTTTAATTTAGTTTTGAGAAGACAGTGCCGTAATCTTTGTTTTTGTAATTACAGGCTAGGTATCCTTAATCCAAAAAACCTCAAATCTAAAGTGCTCCAAGATCTGAAAGTTAATGCTCAAAAGTTCTGGGTTCTGGTTCATTTTGGATTTGAGGTTTTCACTTTGGGATGCTCACCTGGCAAGCTATGTGCAGGCATTTTAAAGTTAGGGGGCACATGCCTTTAATCCCAGCACTCCAGAGGCAGAGGCAAGCAGATCTCTCGAGTTCACAGCCAGCCTGGTCTACATAGCAAGTTCCAGGCCAGCTGGGGCCATAGGGAAATAATCACACTCAGTCTGTGGTATTCTGAGTGTGCGTTTGACAGACAAGAAGTTCATGTGACTCGTTCTCCACATACACATTAATGCCCTTTGAAACTTCACACAGGCAGATGCGCTCTGTGCCCTGGACATTTTAAGCTGTGCGGGATTTGTGAACCACTTTGGCCGGTCACTGTCTGTGGAGAAGATCGACATCAGCCCAATTCTGCTTCAGAAAGGAAGCACAAAAATGGCTCTGTACGGCTTGGGTAAGATGCTGACTTTGTTTTATGTCAGTTGGTGATAGTTTGAATAGCTGAACCAGAGAATTTTGGAAATAGTTTGCAGCTCTTTGGAGAAAAGTGGAACAGATCTGAATACCCCTCACTGGTGACTGAGGAACACATGGAAGGTTTCAGTGACAGTGTTGAGGTCTCTCAGCACCAGCCTCTGTTTGTACGTGCTTTAGCAGCTGTTTGTGGAAAGAAAGTTGCTGCTCGGTATCTGGTGGTGGTTTTTTCTTTTAGACTTGGATGTGTAATCCTGGATGTTAGAATTACAGAATAATTAGCAAATCTGCATTTGAGTATCTTAGAAGTCTGTGAGAGGCCGAAAGTGCCCTGTGTAGCTCTGCCAGCTAGCTGGATTGTGAGTTGTGAAGTCTGGCTAGAGTGAATTACTACCCCTTGTCACTGTAGTGTGCACACCAGACTCGAGACTGGGAAGATCTGTTATTAACATATGTCAAAATTAGTTGTGCTTTTTACCTATTTTAATGTGTCTTAAGTAGAAATCTGTCTGCTCTGCATAGTGGTTCATGTTAATACAACTGTCACTCTTCAAGAGTTGACATCCTGGTCAGAAGTGTGCACCGTCCTGGGTCTGGTGGCCTGCCTGTAATCCTAGCACTGGAGAGCAGGGGTAGGAGAAGCCCCAGGGCTCGCTGGTCAGCCAGCCTCCCGAACCAGTGTTCTCAGGCCAGAGAGAGTCACTGTCTTAAAAGCAAAAATGGACAGCACCTGGGGAATGACCCTCAGGTTGACCTCCGGCCTCCACACGTTCACCTGTCACATACAGCCATGCACACATACACAGAACACAGGTACAGGCATGCATGCATGCACATATACATACAGGAACATGTGCACATGCATGGATACGTGTAGACAGTACACACAGGCAGTTTGCTTTACCATCTTCATCATCTCCCATGATGTAGTTCTGTGGAAAAGCTTATTTGCTAGGCTTTATGACATACGAATGAATGACCAAAACCATTTTTATTTTTTACGATTTTTTTTTTTATATGTATGAGTGTACCGTGCCGAGCAGTGCCACTCGAGGTCAGAAGAGAACCGTACCTCCCTTGGAACTGGAAGAATGGCTGTTAGCTGCCATGTGGGTGCTGGGAACCAAACCCAGGTCATCTGTAAAAGCAGTGGTCTTTTGACCACTCCTGAGCCATGTCTCCAACCCCCCAAATACCATTTTTAAAGAACATGCTTCGTTTTTCTATGTATTTTATATCTCCAGTACTTTTGAGGCTAGAAATAATGTAAAGTCTATTTTATGTGTGGTCTGAGGTGGAGGATGGAGGGGATACACTTTTTTTTTGCTCTTTTTTGAGGCAGGGTCTCCCTGTAGCTCTAGCTGGCCTGGATTCAGTATGGAGGCCAGGCTGGCCTCGAACTCATAGAGATCCGTCTGCCTCTGCCTCCCAAGTGCTGGGATTAAAGGCCTGTGCCACCACACCCAGCCTGGGATATACTTTTTAAAAGCTGTTAGTACATTCAGTGTCTGCAGTGTTCGGTGTCACACCCAGGGCACCCTCTTCAGTTTCTCTCTCCCCCAGTCTGTTCCTGCTCTACTTCCTTCACTGGACTGTCTCCATCCCAAGCCTCTCCATTCATGGAAATTCAAGATATGTTCTTAGGATCATAGGCCCTCTCCTTCCTCTGCCTCTGGATTCCACCTGGCCTCTGTCCTGAGGCTCCTGTGCCCCCACTGCTCTCTCTGTTGGGGCAGAAGTGGGACTCTCTGTCCCCCTCAGCCTGCTCTCCTGCCAGCACACACCCAGCTCCTGGGAAGTGGCTGCCAGCTGGTGGACTGCCCTCTTTCCCTCAGACTGAGTTCAGAGTTCATCCACCTTGCAGTGTGTGGACCACAGGTAGTTCACCTGCCAGTGCTCTGGGCCTCGTGCTGTGACTGCCTGTACTTGAGATGGTCTGCTTCCATGCCACCGTTTGTCCACGCACCCGTTTAGGGGCCGCTCCTTGTTCTCCGTCTGTGGTGCCGGCCTTTCTGATCAGCCTGTGAAGGAGCAGCCTTACCCACCCCTCAGCGCTGCAGTTGTGCTGAGCAGCACTGTTCTAGACGTGGCTTACCTTCTAGCACTCACTTCCCTGCATGTTACAGCGTGCGCCACAGCGCAGAGCTCATCAGGCTTGTGGTGCCTTGACAAGAAGTGGTGCTGCCAGATGTTCCGATGTGCACAGACGCTCGGGAAGCTTGGTCTTTCTTCCTACATAATCCTGACTGTGAAGGCCTACGTTCCCCAAGTGGGACCTGACTGCATGGACCCAGGAATGTGTCTATATATGTCATCGTTTATACATGTTTCCAGAATTAATAGATCCACAGTAAAATGCAGTGCTTTTGAGAAATGCATAATTTAGAAACAAAAGATACTCGCCCTTTAGAACCAAAGTAATAGCTGGGCGTGGTGGCGTATGCCTTTAATCCAAGCACTCGGGAAGCAGAGGCAGGCGTATCTCTGTGAGTTCAAGGTCAGCCTGGTCTACACAGTGAGTTCCAGGACAGCTGGGGCTACAGGGAGACCCTGTCTCAAAAAGACAAAAAAAAAAAAAACCCAAAGTAAGAAAGCAATTTAAAAACAATGTCCCATCCCTCTGCAGGATCCATCCCAGATGAACGGCTCTATCGGATGTTTGTCAATAAAAAGGTTACCATGTTGAGACCGAAGGAGGATGAGAGCTCCTGGTTTAATTTGTTTGTGATTCATCAGAACAGGTAAAAGTCCCTGGGCAGGTCTCTGAGCCAAGCTCAGAGGGTCCCGAAATCTGTTTCCAGGAGCAGTTGCTGCATGGCGCTTGGCTCCTTCACGGCTACCAGTACGTGGTCAGAACAGGTTTGCCTGTGTGACTTCAGGCTGAAGCCAGTTTTAGTGTGTCGGCACCTGTGAGAGAATGCTTGCAGCAAATGGGAGACATAAAATGACCTAAAAGCCGGGCGTGGTGGCACACACCTTTAGTCCCAGCTCTTGGGGCAGAGGCAGGCGCTTCTCTGTGAGACTGAGACCAGCCTGGTCTACATAGCAGGCTCTAGTCAGGCCAGTGCTACCATGAGACCGTCTTTCAAAAATAAGCAGACCTTAAAAAAAAAAAAGAGTGTCTATAAAGTCTGCACTTGTGTGTGCAGCAGGAGGTGGAGTGTTGCTGGCCCGCCCCACCTCCCATCTGCTTCCTCCCATCCCTGGGGAAGCATCTTCCCAGCTGTGAATTGATATTCCTGCTTCTCCCTTTAATCGCATATATCTGTAACTAATACTTGGTATGTCAGGAATCATGCTGTATGTTGGAGATGACGTGTTTAGTACTGTTACTGGGTTTTACTCATTTTGATTCTTAGAAGTGGAAGTAGTTTTTTTAATTGATGTATAGTTGTATTTTTATCCTGTCAGTGAGCATTTTGTTTCCAACTTTTTGCTCTATAAAACTTGCTTCTGTGTACTAGAGAGGTGACTCAGCAATTAAGAGCACTGGCTGCTCTTGCAGAGGACCTGGGGTCGATTCCCAGCACCCACATATCTATAACTAGTTCCAAGGGATCCAACGTTCTCTTCTGGCTTCTGCAGGCATTGCACACATGGGTGCACTTAATACATGCAGGCAAAACACTCAAACACATTTAAAAAGACCCTTGTTGCTGCGGGCACTTCTACCTGTCTCCTGAGGTACATGAATACCTTTCCAGAAACAGCCAGAGAGGCTTCCTTTGCTGGTGGGAGGTGTGGTCTGTCAGTAGATCCAGGACTGATTGAAGGATGAGTCCTGCAGCGAACAAAGCCAGGTGAGGTGGGGGCGGGGAACCCCAGAGCTGGGAAGTCCAGTCCCCGAGGAAGACGCCAAGGGCTTTGAGGCCTGGTTCTGTACTGCATTTCTTGAATGCAGACTTGAGCCCAGTGCTGGGTCGTGCAAGTTTTAGGAGGCAGACTTGTGAGTCTCAGATGTGCGTTTCAAGTGGGTTTTGGTGTGCAGTTCCTTTGTCCCTCTCAGCACTGGGGTTCACCTGCCCTCTCGCTGACGGCTACCCTGCCTCACCTTGCCCGTGCAGGGTAAGGTGGAAGGAGAACCTTGATTCCAAGAAACTAAGCCAGAATGAAGGGTAGGAGCCAGGCCTGCTAAGGGCGCAGGCAGTTGATGGGCAGACTGGTGAGCCTCATTGCTAGGGTGCTGACGTCCTGTCTGATTGCGAGATCTAGTCCAGCTTACTCCACTTCAAATTTTGGGGGGGTTTATTTATTTTTTTATGTGTATGAGTGTTTGCCTGAACGTATATAAGCACCCATTTCGTGCAATGCCCGTGGAGGTTCCCCTGGAACTGGAATTACAGACTGTTGTTAGCTGCCATGCGGGTGCTGGGATTTGAACCTCCGTCTTCTACAAGAGCAGCTAGTGCTGTTAACCGCAGAGCCATCTCTCCAACCCCAGCGTGCTCCTATTTAAAGTCCTTATTTTCTACTTCGAAGGCACTTAGTATGTGAGATGCTTTGTGGCCCTGTGCGTATCTTGTTTCACACTGTACTTTGCCTGCTAACTTTAGCCTGCAGTGGCCACCCCTTCTTTAATACTGTGGCATTGACCTTAGGGTGTCTGCTGTCCTTTAGTCCTTCAGTATTTAATAATTAGAATCTTTGTAGAGAAGATTTGTCCTGTCCTCATTTAGTCACCTGTTCATGCGTTTATATCATGAAGGACCTGGGGGTGGGGGTCTGTACACTCTTGGAGGCCAGAGGATGCTGTCGTGTGTCCTGCTCTGTCACTCTGCCTCCTTCCCTCAAGGCAGACTCTGAAGCTAGACAGGTGGCCAGCCGTAGGGATCATCCAGCCTCTGTCCCCCCACAGTGTGGTATTTGCAGGTCAGGTCCTTTACACAGAACCATAAGAACCCAGGTTTTTGTGTAGGTGCTGTGACTCAGGTCCTCAGCAGGTACTCTACCCTCTGAGCTACAAGCACTCTCTACCCACTGAGCCATCTATCCAGCGCAGACTAGCTGATTTCAGTGTATTGAGTTACTGCCTAACGGTATCTGTTTTTGTTGTTGTTAATTGTTCCTCAGAACATTCCAGCAGTGACTGCTGGAGGTGATTTTGTGTTGGCCTCTGTCCTAGTTTGTTCTCCATTGCCGTAACAAAACACTCTGACCAATACCAACTTGGGGAGGAAAGGGTTTGTTCAGCTTACATCTCCCAGGTCACAGTTCATCAGGGAGCCCAAGGTAGGAACTCGGGGCAGGAACCTGGAGGCAGGAGCTGGAGCACAGGCCATGGAGGAACGCTGCTTACTGGCTTGCTCCCCTGGCCCCTGCTCAGCCTGCTTTCTTATGCAACACAGGCCCACCTGCCCAGGGGTAGCCCACATCACTCATCAAGAAGATACCCCTCAGACATGGCCACAGGCCAGTCCAATAGAGGCAATTCCCCAACTGAGGCTCCCTCAACCCAGGTGTGTCAAGTTGACACTAAAGCTATCCAGCACAGCCTCTGTGTCCTTTCAATATACTCTTTTTGAGTGTGTGTTGTGCGCGTATTGAGCATGGCCTTAGATTTTTTGGCATCACAAGAACCTGCCATTCCATCTTGTCTTCCTGCCCTTCCCCTGGAATCACCTAAGTCTAAGGAGCTCTGATGCCTTTGATGCAGTACTTACGAGACTAACATGCACGTGAGCACCAGCTGTGCTGGTACTGGGTCTCAACCCTCACAGTGAATGGAGTTAAGGGAGGTGATAGATGGGTTTGTGTGTATAACAACACATGCAGGCGCACTTCTGTTTCTCCAGCTGTGTGTGTGCAAAAAGCAACCATAAGTTCACGTTGACTCTAGTCTAATCCAGATCCACATTGTTCGGTTTTGTCTTCTTATTGCTGACTTTTTTCTCTAAAAGAAGCCTGAATTATAATTGTGTCTTTCTGTCTGTGTGTGTTTTTTGCTGGGGACCAAACCCCAGGCTCTTCTTGTACATCCTAGGCCAGTGCTCTGCTACTGAACTGCATCCCTAGTCTAGTTTCTTGTTATATAATGTACCTGGTGAAAACATTTATTCCTGCTAATGTGCACCTCTGAGAAATGCACTTCCTAAAGAGAGAATGCTGCTTTGTGCCCTTCAGTCTACAGCCTTCTGTGTCTAGTCAGAACCAGTTTTCAACGTTCCTCAGCTCCTTTCTTCCCTCCCCTCGCCGTTGTCCACACGTGACACCAGCATCAGCTCCTCTTTCTTCCAGGAAGGCACCGTAGTGCCGTGCTGTGCTGGGAGTGACCTGCTGTGCCTCAGCAGCTGTCAGGATCACATACCCCAGATGACTTCTTACACGACAACGTTGTGAAATTTCAGGCCTGCCAAGCTCTGGATTTCACTCTGATCTTCCCTGGGTTCTTCTGTCTAGCGGCAACATTTTCCTGCTGTTCCTCGAACCCAGGCAACACAATCTCATCTCAGCCTTCATGGCCTGCCCCTCCCTTGCAGGGCCCTCTTGTCCCTCACATGCAGATCTCTCACCTGTTCTGTGCTCAGCTCTCAGAGAGGCGTCTGCTGCCTGGTGTGCAGAGCAGCCCCACCTCCTGCCACCCGCCCCCACACCCCCGTCTTTGCAGCCACTGTCGCTCTCTGTTAAGTTTTACTGACACATGCCTTAGGTCGTTGCTGGTGCCCCATGAGGGCAAGGGTCTGGTTCACTGCTCAGCTCAGTGCTTAGGACATTTGACACTTAGTGACCCTCTGTAAATATTGTTGGGTGACGAAGGAAGGTGGGTTTGGATCAGGTCAGTGCCGGGTTTAAGTAGGAGCCCTTTTGGGTACATGCCCAATGGCAGGAGTTGCTGCTAGTGAGAGTCCTTCGTGGCTTCGCCTACTGGTAGTCACTCTGCCAAATGCAGTAGTTTGCAGATGTCTTTGCGCTTTAGGATGCTGAAAACGCTTGTTAGCACAACCTTTTCGTTCCTTTGTTTTTAATGGTCAGTAAAAGAAACAGATTGTGTTAAAATCATTGGACATGTTTACAGGTTTGTTATTTTAGCAAAAGTGTAGATTTTTTTCTGCTTTCCATTTTTAAATGTTTGTTTTTATTTTGTGTGTATGAGTGTGGTGCCTGCATGTATGTGAGTGCACCCGTGTCATGCAGTACTGCGGAGGTCAGAAGAGGGCGTTGGATTCCCCTGGAACTGGAGTTATGGACTCCATGTGGATGCTGGGAATTGAACCTGGGTCCTCTGCAAGAGCAGCCAGTGCTCTTAACCGCTGGGCCACTTCTCCAGCTGCCCTGCTTCCTTTTGGAGGGTATATGACCAGGTCAGTTTGTGGATTTACCTTGAACAGAGCTCTCGCTTTCCTGACTTGAGCAGAGAAGGGTCTTTCCTCTGCAAGCTGCATCTCCTTCGAGCACAGACCCAGCAGCTGCCCTCAGGACGCCTGCTGCGCTGTGTCCTGCAAGTCTGTACCTGGTGTTTTAGGCTACGTAGTATCTTTGCATCCCCAGTCCCTTGGGCAATTTCTGACAAAGATGTGATTCATTGTTAGTGGAGGGAGAAAAAAATCTGTGTAGACTTAATAAAGTTTTCTGCATTGTTGCAAATGTGTGTTGTTTGTTTTTAAATCTTGTACAGGAGTAAGCACGGAAGTACTAACTTCATTCCAGAACAGTTTCTGGACGACTTCATCGACCTCGTTATCTGGGGCCATGAACATGAGTGTAAAATAGGTCCGACCAAAAACGAGCAGCAGCTCTTTTATGTCTCTCAGCCTGGAAGCTCAGTGGTCACTTCTCTCTCCCCGGGAGAGGCTGTGAAGAAGTGAGTACTTGTGTGTTGCAGACACTGAGACGGGCTTTCTCTGCTCTCTCCACCAGCCGTGTCCTTCTGTCCTCACGCGCTCCACCGCGTCCCTCTGTCCTCATGCGCTCCATGGCAGCCCTCTGTCCTCATGCGCTCCACCACGTCCCTCTGTCCTCACGCGCTCCACGGCAACCCTCTGTCCTCACGCGCTCCACCGCGTCCCTCTGTCCTCACGCGCTCCACGGCAACCCTCTGTCCTCACGCGCTCCACCGCGTCCCTCTGTCCTCATGCACTCCATGGCAGCCCTCTGTCCTCACGCGCTCCACCACGTCCCTCTGTCCTCACGTGCTCCACGGCAACCCTCTGTCCTCACGCGCTCCACCGCGTCCCTCTGTCCTCACGCGCTCCACGGCAACCCTCTGTCCTCACGCTCCACACCACTCACTCCCGGGTAACATGCACAGGCTGTGTTTAGAGACCAGGGCTCTGTTGACAACCTGAAGCCTGATTTTTAACAAGACAGTGTCCAGTTGATGGTGGTTTGCTGCCGTTTAGGCAAATTCAAGACTAACATTTTTATTTATTAAAATTCACATAGCTGTCACTATGTAGATTCCTATAAAGTCACTAAATCGAGGCTTTTTCTGGTTATAAATACAGTGTTTGTAGCATATCTGATCTCCTTCTTCTGTGTGTATGGGGGGCTGGTTTTAGACAGTGTCGACATCTCACAGTGTTGCCTAAGCCAGCCTCAATTCTCCTGCCTTTGCCCCGAGTGCAGGTGCTGGACTTACGGCATGCCGGCTTGCCCTGCTTTCTGGCTTTTTTAATTCTTGGGCAGAAGGATGTGATCCTAAAAGCCTTTATCAGTGACTACACTACTTCTGTAATGGCTGGTCTTGCCCTTGGGGTGGGCTCAGGCTCTGGTGGTTGGGATCACCAGCCTCACAGGCGTGGTGCCTGTCTGTCACTCTTCTCTGACATCATAGTCTTGGTAGCATTTCATTCCACTTACTGTTAGGTCCATGTTCCTTTGCTAGAGTCTCAGCTCAGTGGAGAAAAGATGACTAAGTAAATTTTGTTCTTCAGAAGAATGCTGCCTTTTTTTCCTATTAAAATTAAACTGCCAGGAACATGTATTTTTAAGGGTGTCCTATGAGAAAATATTTTGTAGAACTAAGAGAGAAGTACGATAGCTTTTTATTGGTTCAGGCAGATTCTCTGTGTCCCAGCTGATCTGTGTCTACATGTCCTGCCTCAGCTTCCTGAGTGCTGGGTCCACAGGCATGTGCCCCAAGCCTGGCTCCTGGCTCTGGTGCCTCCATCTCTCCGAGCAAGCGTACACTATCTCAGCCCTTCCCTCTCCTGTGCAGACACGTGGGCTTGCTGCGCGTCAAAGGGCGGAAGATGCACATGCAGAAGCTCCCCCTCCATACAGTACGGCCATTCTTCATGGAGGACGTGGTTCTGGCCAACCACCCGAACCTGTTCAACCCTGACAACCCTAAGGTGACCCAGGCCATCCAGAGCTTCTGTTTGGAGAAGGTAAGCACATCTCAGAAGCTCAGCCATATCTACTTAGGCTGGGACACTGTGAGCCTTCAGTTACAGGGCTCAGCAGCAGCTGGAAGCCAGGCACGTTGATCACTCACAAAGCTGGTCATCGCTGCTGCTCAGGAAATGAGCTGAGTTGTATCAAAGACCCTTGAAAAAATAACTGGCTGATTAGATCTTGTGTGACCTTCTCTGTAAAGCGTTCTGACTGCTCTTCTCATGCCTCCTCTCCACAAATCCTTTCCCTATAGTCAGGCCTTTGAGTTTGCTTTGTGACTCACTGAGTTTAACCTGGCTGTGTGTGGCAGTGGGGTTGGAGCTGTCCGTTGGAGCCTGCTGGGCTCACAGGTGGGCTTCCCTAGAATCCACGAGCAGCTGGAAGTTCAGTGGGAAAGGGTGGGGCTCGTGAGCCCCTCCCCCATCCATGACTGGCTGTTGACAGGGCCAGGCTTGTGTGGGCCCAGTGAGCCACTGTGAGTTTGTGACTACGGTGGCTGTGTCATGCGCATGCGACATTTTGCAGCCTTCTTCCTGTCCTCCGGCTCTTATACTTTCTGCCCTTCCTTTCTCCGTGTTCCCTGACCTTAGACGAGGTGCTGCATCTTCTCAGTGCTGAGTACTCAACCTCAGAGACCTCTAGATACGGGAAACACCTAGCTCGTGGTCTCCCAGTACTCGCCGTAAAGAGTGAACCCATACTGTCTCCTCTGTTTCATCCTGGTTTGGTACTCTGTTGATTTACTTAGTGATACCAGCAGTGACTTCAGACAGAGGGTCCTGAGGCCCTGCACCTCTGATTTCCATGACACATACCTTCTACCCTGAAAGTACTCCAAATATAGTCTCATCCTCCTTCTCTGGTGCAGATGACTGCCCACCCTTAGACCTCTGTAGAAGTTCTTGATCCCTGCTGTGTGGGCTGTGTTTGTAGTTGTATGTAGGCAACGTGATAGCCTGAACTGCTTATTATTACCTATTAACTGTATATTCATTCAGCCCTAACTCCACCAGCTTCTCTACTTCACGCTTCATTACCGGGTACAGTGGGAGCAGGGCAGTGACGTCACAGCTCTGACTGCTGCTCTTTGTGGTATGTGCAGCTTAGCGGTCTCCCCCTTGGCCTCTGCCCGCTAAGTGCCTGGGATTTAGGCATGTTCTGGTCGTCCAGACAAATCCATAGACTGAATGGTCCTGTGAATTCAGAGTTTGTAGGCAGCAGTAAAATGAGCATCTTCGTGAGCACCTGAGTGCGAAGCTTGGTCACCTCTGTTGTCCTTATTGTCCTTACTTATGTACATGGGGGACAAGGCCAGTATCTTGACTTCTGTATTTTAAATTTTTAATTTTTTAATTTTTTTGAGACCAAGTCTTATGTGTTGCTCAGGCCGGCCTGAAATTCACTGTAGCCCAGGCCCACCTCAGTCTTCTTTCTACCTCCGGAGTGTGGGCATTACACGTGTGTGCCACCATGCCCAGCTTTCAGCTGTTCTACTTTTGCACTTGACCTGCTGCCTGGCCCCCAGGTGCTCTGTAAACACCCCTGGAGTGAGACCGCCAGCCCGGCAGGTCGAGTTCTGAAAGCTCTGCTGTCCTGTATCCATTTACGTGTGATTGAATGAAGTTAAATGTTAATTTTCTCACTTCCACTAACCGCTTTCAGGCAGCCTGTGTCCACGTGGTTGTGGCAGCCACAAGCGCACAGGCAGATGTTGAGAGGAGCCAGGCGTGCTGCTGTGTGGCTGTAGCCCAACACTTGGCAGGTGGAGGCCGGAGCCAGGACATCACGACTTAGACTTGGAGGAAAGCTCAGATTGGTAGACAGCTGCAGCCCTTAGGAAGCCGTGTTGGAATTAGTCTGTCCTTGGACCTCAGTCAGACCTCAGGAACAATGTGGGTAGGGTGACTGCTTTTGTTCTCGGATCTCTTCCGAGGCTGCGATTTCCAGACTTCCGCTCTGTAGCACAAGACAACTTCAGATACTGAAAATGTTCCTCTTTTAGCTTGAACTCTTCCTAGTAAGTAACCGGGACCCCGTGGCTCCTCTCTTACACACGATGCCACTGGAATGTACTCGGTATAGAATTGATAAGGTGAGTGAAGCCATGTTGGAACTGTGCAATAGGAGAACCGAGGCAGTGCTTTAAGTTTTCTTACAAAGGAGTCACTTTAGGGATTGAAAAATTATGAAGAATGTCTGCAGGAGAAAACTGCCAAGGAGTGGTTAAGCCAGGCGTGGTGGCACAGGCCTTTAATCCCAGCACTCGGGAGGCAGAGGCAGGCAGATCTCCGTGAGTTCAAGGCCAGCCTGGTCTTCACAGTGAGTTCCAGGACAGCTGGGGCTACAGGGAGACCCTGTCTCAAAAAGACCAAAAAAAAAAAAGCTGCTGTAAATGAGCCAGCAGAAATTCAAACTGCTGTTCAGCAAGTTTAAACTGAGTTCAATACTTGGTTATTTTTATTTTGAGATTGAAGAAATGCTGGAGGGCGCAGAGCGGGACCGGCTAGGGAATTCCCAGCAGCCAGAGAAGCCTCTCGTACGACTGCGGGTAAGTGTGTGGGGAAGCGGAAGCTTGGTGGTGTTCAGAGTACAGTTGTGTGCAGTGCACACTTTCTGACAGGGGTAAGTGCAGTGCTTAGAGCATTGAGCAGTCACCACTGCCACGGAAATGTGAAGCCTCGAGGGGTCCCACTTAACCCCAGCTAAAGCCTGATAGGTTGAGTCTATGTTTGTTTGTCCTCTAAATGGTTTTATTTAGTAGATTGACTGTGGCCTCGGATTTCAAAACCTTTTCTTCTTTCACTCTGCCTGGGGTCCCTTGACCTTCCTGCAGATCCTCCTAGCCCTCACCTCCTCATCTGATCATTGCTCCCTACCTGCAGCCCTGGCCCCACCCACAGAATTGCCCGGGAACACTTGCCACACTGTAGATTCACTGATCTTTCCTTTTTCTATGACAGATTTTCCTAACTTATTCTGTGCAATTTATTTATTTTGGTTTCCGTGTGAACAGACCCTTCCCTATAAACTGGCTGTCTCCCCATGGGGATGTAAACACAGCAGCAAGCCTCCAGTTGCTAGCACGCTTCCCGTCTCCTCCTGCTCCTGCCCTGTTTTCCTGCTTGCTTCCATGTTCCCAAGGTGTATAAATCCTGCACTCCCCTGATGTGCGTTCCTCAGGTCGGTGACTTTTAATTTCCCATCACCTCAGTTTCACAACTACATGACTCTGGAGCCATCTGAGCTGTTTCTAGCCCTTCTGTCTCTGAGCTTCTGTAAGGCTGACTTCTTGCCGATCTCTCACTCTTTTTTTAAATGTTTTATTTACTATTTTTATTTTACGTGTATGCATGTATTGCCTGCATGTAGGTAAGTGTACCCGTGTCGTACAATGCTCACGGAGGACAAAAGAGGCTGTTGGATCCCCTGGAACTGGAGATATGGACAGTTGTTAGCTGCCATGTGAGTGCTGGGATTTGAACCCAGGTCTTCTGCAAGAACAACCAGTGTTCTTAACCGCTGAGCCATCTCTCCAGGGCTCACCCCCCCCATCTCTATACAGAGGTCCCCTAAGATTTGATACTTGGGGTGCATGGCCTTCACCCCTCTGCCTGGGCATTGCCTGGGAGAGTGTTTAAAGTGTAGACTCCCGGCCTCTACATTGACCCTGCTGCCTTCTAACAAGGTCCCCAAGAGATGAGTCCACACACGAACATTGAAAAGTTGCAGGGTTAGGGGCAGAGGAGTCTGGCCCCGTCCGACCTTGCATGTTTCTTGTCTGTTGGTTTGTACAAAATAGAGTTTTGAGGACCATGCGAATTAAATCATGCCTGGTACGTCGTAAGTCAGCTGATCTCTCTGTCATCCTACTGCAGTCAAGCTCTTTATCACTTACTGCCCTGTAGTTAAAGCGTCCTGCCTAGACTGCCTCAGTTTACCTTCACCCTACCCCTTGAGCCTCCCCACCATGCTGATACTAAAATGATCTTAGAGAAACACAGTCTTATATGTCTTTATGCTGAAAATAACTTACCAGTTCCCTTGCTCTAACAGAAACAAGTCAGCACTGTTTAAGGCAGCTTCCAGGTATCTGCCTGATCTGGTGTACACCAGCCTCTCTCCTGTCTCTCTCTTAAGCCATCTGAAACTCTTAACATTGAACTAAAATTCTGGTGCCTGTGCCCAGGGGAGTAGGTTCCCTGGACCCGTGTCCTTGTGTCCTTGCTCATTTGGATGCGTACTTCCCCTTCCTGCTGGGAACCCCCCCACACCCACAGTGGCCTCCCTCTTCAGAGAAGCCCCTCCAGGCATCTCCTCATTGTCCTCTGCTGCCTCCTGCTTTGCAGACTTTGTATGAGCACTGGTTCCACTGTGTCTGCAATGTTCGTTTACGTTTGCCCTCCCAATCAGCTCGAGGAGCTCTTGAGCCCCAAGACCGTGTGTTATTTACGGGTGAACCCTTGCCAGAATGCCTAGAACATTGTTATTTAGTGAACACAAGGAGACTGTATGCAAAGCTGAGCTGCAGTGTAATTGTTAACCTGTCTGAGGAGTCTGGGGAGACACTAGCTGTTAGATTTGGCACTTCCTCTGGTACACAGGGCAGCTGTGCCATGATCCAGGTAGTAGAAGGGTGGTCACTTAGGGGAGGGAGCACATGGTCTCTTCCTCAGCATATGAAGTACATGCTTTTTCATCTGTATGTGTTACCTGAGGGGCAACCAGATCTAAACAACTAATTGGCAAATTGTTCATCCTTGAAACAAAAGAGGAGATGTTGTCATATATGTGATATTGCTGAAACACCTTGCATCAACTAGCAGACCCTTACTAACTTGTTAATTCATCCAAGGATCCTTCTGTTTGTTGTGAGTGCTGGGACATGGTGACATAAAGCAGACTCTGAACTGGCTGCAGGAGGTGGAGGAGAGGAGCTGATGACAAATGAGCAGCTCAGCAGGTGGCTTCAAGTGTGATGAGGAAGGCTGGGTGGGTGGGGTGGGGTTGGTTAGCAGGGGCTGTAGGTAGGTTGGCACTTGCTGGCCCAAGGCCGACTTCAGAGAACAGCCAGTTCAGAAAAATGTTCTCTCCAGAAAAAGGGGATGTTTCTCTTCAGAGGTCTATGTAATGCTAGAGACTTTGTTTGCTTAGCCCAAGGTTTTTAGCCCAGGTTATTTAGCCAAGGCTGACCCTAAACTCCTAATCTTCCTGCCTCCATCTCCCAAATACTGGGATGACAGGTACGCACCACCAAGTCTAGTTGCTGTCAAATTCTTTAGAAAGAGTCTGCCTTGAGAGAGAGCATTCTGGTGAGACCACATTTTAAAGGTAGGCACTTCTGAGCCTGCAGACATGAAATTCTTCCCTCCTGGGATTTTCCTTGCCCAGCCTGGAGCCCCTTCCCTGAGATGTAGGTAAGTAAGCTAAGGCACCTAAGGCAGGGTTATCTTTCTATCTGAACATTGAGAAATTTGCTTAAAAGCTCTACTTTTCAGCTGGTACTTGTGATGAGCCTAGACTGTTTCTGTTGTCGTGGGAGGTAGAATAGCCCCAGCATCATGGGGTGCACTGACCTGATTCCATCAAACAAGAAGCAGTTCATGTAAGCTTCTCCTTCCAAGCGTTCGTTCAACAATAGGACAAATGCGTTAACACTGCGGCAGTCACTAGGATGTAGGAAATAAGTTAGAAATTTAGAGGTATTGTGCACACAAACTTTAAATACCAGGAAGAGCGTTTCCCAGAACTGACAGGCTGTTTCCTGCTGTGCCCACAGGTGGACTACAGTGGGGGGTTTGAGCCTTTCAACTCTCTGCGCTTCAGCCAGAAGTTTGTAGATCGGGTTGCTAACCCGAAAGACATCATCCACTTCTTCAGGCAAAAACAGCAGAAGGAAAAAACAGGTAAGCTGGTTATTTTTAAAGCTCAAAGCATGCTTTTACATGGCTTGTCTAAACCAAAATTTGATGAAATAAATATAAAATAATGGACATTTTAGTATTTATGTTAGAAAAAAATTGTAAAAAATACTGTTTTATCTTCTAAAAATTGTACAGTGTTCCGAGCATTTTCTTGTTTGTCTGTAGCCTTGTTTTTGGAGACAGGGTCTCCTCTTGCTGTAGGCATGTGCCACTGCTCCCAGCTGGGTTTTTTGTTTTTTTTAAATATTTTATTTTTATTTTGTGCGTATGCGTATATTGCCTGCATGTAGGTAAGTGCACCCATGTCGTGCAATGCCGGTGGAGGACAGAAGAGGCTGCTGGATCCCCTGGAACTGGAGCTACAGACAGTTGTTAGCTGCCATGTGGGTGCTGGGATTCGAACCCGGCTCTTCTGCAAAAACAGCCCATGTTCTTAACTGCTGAGCCATCTCTCCAGCTCCCCCAGCTGGGTTTTTAAACCCGTGGGTGTTGATGAAGGCACAGAAAGCTGCCTCTGCAGACAGAGCTTTCTAAACAGAGGTGCTGGATGACAGCACACATGGACTTGAGACGCCCGTTGCTGAGAGTACTCGCTTACTGCCTACTGTGTGTTAGTGTTCTTACTGCCTACTGTGTGTTAGTGGTGTTCTGAGCATGTGCCTGGCTTTTCCATCATTAACCATTTTGACTTAGAGTGTGCAGTGGTTTAGGAAAACTTCCCACTTTTGAAATTAGACGTGTCCATTTATTTGATAATCCTGATAACTGAAGTAATTCGTTTCCAGTTAAATGTTATAAGCACTCGTTAGCCATATGGAACAAGTCAGGAGGTGGTAAGAATTTGGCCAGACGTCCACTGAAGACCTGTGGTTTTGGCTGTTTTAACATGCAGTGTGTTTTGACACATTCCTTTCTGTAGAAGAGATCAACTTTGGGAAGCTTGTCACAAAGCCTTCAGAAGGAATGACCCTCAGGGTGGAAGACCTGGTGAAGCAGTATTTCCAGACTGCAGAGAAGGTAATTCTGTACAGTTAGTGAAGAGGCTAACATGGCAGGCTTTAATTTAGGGTAGGTGAGATAAGTCAAAGGAATTTTCTTTTAAATTTGTTGGTGTGCTGTGGTATTCATATGGAGGTCAGAAGACAACCCATGGGATTGGTTTTCTCCTTCTACTGTGTGGGCTGTGGGTTGAACTCCAGTTGTCAGGCTTGGTGGCAAGTGTCTTTACCTGCTGAGACATCTCGTTGGCCCTCAAATGATTTTTTAGATTCTGTGAGGTAGAGTGACACTGAATTATATCCATCTGGGTTACTCCACATTAAGAAAAAGTAGTGTGTAATGAATATTATTAATTTTATTAATGTAACTATTCCTGTTTGGATTCTTAGGCCTTCTTACCCTGTTGTAGAAATCATCTGCGTTTATGTTTGATTGCAGTGTTCCGTCACTTTACCATACAGATGCACGCTGGTGAAGCTACTTCAGCTCATTTCTCTGTATCTGTGTAAAACGACAGATTATTTATTTTTATTTTATTTATTATTTTTATTTTATGTGTATGAGTGTTATGTCTGCATGTAGGTAAGTGCACCCTTGTCGTGCAATGCCTGCAGAGTATAAAAGAGGCTGTCAGATTCCCTGGAACTGGAGTTAAGGACAGTTGTTAGCTGCCATGTGGGTGCTGGGATTCGAACCAGGATCTTCTGCAAGAACAGTCAGTATTCTTAACCACTGAGCCATCTCTCCAGCCCAAAACAACAGATTTATTATCTTACGTTGTGATGGTAAGAAATGGCCTGGGTCTCTTGGCTGAAATCAAGGTGTCAGCAGAGCTTGTTTCCTCCTGATCACCTGAGGGAGAATCCAGACCTCCCCTAGCTTCTAGAAGTTTTGGTTTCCTAGCTCTTCTCTCCTCTGCCCACCTACAAAGGCAGCAGTGGCATCTCCGGCCATTTCCCCAGCTACTTGTCACCCTGCCTCTCCCTTTGGCATTCTGGGACCCTGTGATTGCCCAGGGCTGCCTGGAGAGTCCCTGATTACCACTGAGTTTATAGCCAGCCAAGCAGCCTGAGAACCACCTGTAGCTTCCGTCCTTCTAGCCTTATAACATTGAGGTCCCAGAGTCAGGTGGGAGTGTTCCTGCAGCCAGCTCCTGTGGGTCAGCCATCATCAGAGGTCAGAAGAGGGTGTAAGATCTGGAACTGGAGTTACTGACGGTTGATAGTCAACATGTGGATGCTGGCAATTGAACTTGGGTCCCCTGCAAGAGCAGCCAGTGCTGTCAACCACTGAGCATCCCTACAGCCCCTAGACAGCTTTTTTGGCCCCTTAGTTTTTATTAAGTACTGTCTGCTGGTTTGATACCCCCCCTCCCCCAGCTCTCTTAACTTCTCCTCGGATAGCAGGGTTCTCTAGGCTGTTTTGTTCACCTGTGGTCTCTGTGTTTCTTATAGAATGTTCAGCTCTCCCTGCTCACAGAAAGAGGGATGGGAGAAGCCGTCCAAGAATTTGTGGACAAGGAGGAGAAGGACGCCATTGAGGAGTTGGTGAAGTACCAGCTGGAGAAGACGCAGCGGTTTCTTAAGGAGCGACATATCGACGCCCTGGAAGATAAAATCGATGAAGAGGTGGGCTGTTGGCTTGGTAATCCAGGAATCATGCTAAGGGTTTATTTTCTTCTGCCAAACCACCGGGAGCACTCAGATTTATTCCATTTTCTTGTCTATATAATGAGTAAATTAGAACCTGTCCAGGCAGCACCTAGCACAGAATCTGATGGATGGCTGGTACCGAGTAAAGGATGGCTCTGTTCCGGAAGAAAGCATCTTCTGTGGCTTTCGAGCATCCCACAGAATGAGCCTGGTAGATCACGAGGAAGTGTAAACAGGTAGCACAAGAAGGTGGCATTTAGCCACAGTTCACTAAAGAAAGCTATGTGGGTTTTATTAGTTGGATTTGACTTGAGTAAGTGAGTGGTTGATACTCTGCAGGAGGAGCTGTGCTGGAACAACTTTCTGGAAAACAACTGGCTGTGGGTATTGAGAGGCCAAGGGAGGTTTATTACACCCTAATGGAGAAGGCAGTGAGGTGGGGATTAGTACATGGGCAATTAGTCCTCAGGTTGTGCATAGTGGGGGTAACTGGAAATGATTTGTTTCATTAAATGTTGGCTCATAGACAATACAGAATTTTTATAGCCATTAAAAATCAAATTTTGGCTGAGCACAATGTTATGTCTGTAATTCCAGTACTTGGAAAGGGAGGTAGAAGATTAGGAGTTCAAGGTCATCCCTAGTCACATAGTGAATTCCAGGCCAACCAGGGTTTCACAAAACCATGTCTCAAAAAAAAGTTAGGTGTTGAAGAACATGGGAAAGTATTTCCAAAACTACATAAATACTTTTAGATAAAAGTATTTTTCTGTTAAAAAGTATAACATTAAATGAGAACAAAATTGTAAGTCTGCAGAGATGTGCACATTGTGGGGTTTTTACCGTGCGTGTGCACACCATCGTGGTTATAAATTTGGATTATCTAGGGTCACTTTCTGTATTTCAAGTTCTCTGTAGACAGGAGAACAAAGCTCTCTCACAGTGCTAACCCTCTGTCTCTCCGTGCCTTTGCCGCGGTGTCACTGTGTAAATCACACTACTCAGTGCCAAGTGCTTTTAAGTTAGAGCAGGTGATCTGACTCCAGGTGTGTTGAGTTGGTTTTTTTAGTCTTTAGTGACATCATGACTCCTGATCTACAGGGCTGTGTGTGTCTGTCTGTCTTTCTGTCTGTCATGATAACCCAGCATGTGGCCCCTGGACCACATTGTGTTCAAAATCAAAACCCTTGTCTGTGCCATCCTTGAGTTCATCCTCACCTCTAACTCTGTAAAGTGGAGTGAATAATTGAATCTCCTTCAGGGTCGTGAGGATTAAAATAATTAGTATACGTCAAACCCTCTACCTTCGTGTTCTCTGCACCTCTGGTAGCCTCCGCCACCCAGAGCACTGCTTTATCTCTTAGTAGACTGCCGTACTGCGGTCTTCCTCCCCTGCAGAGTCATAGCGCACACGCTGTCTTTGAGCTTAGAAACACTCGGCTCCTGAACTCGTGCTGTCTCTGCTCCTTCCTACAGGGGAACCGCCTCATTCCAGACTTGCAGCTCTAGTTCTTTTCTTCTCTTCTCTTACACGCATCCACGCGAACTTTGGACCCCATCATTCCATGAAGCTGCTCTTGTCAAGGTCACAGTGATCCCATTGCTAGCTGCACTGTCAGGGACTTTCCTTAAATGCTGTTGACGATCTTCCTGAGGCTTTTTGGGGGGGAGGTTCTTTTTTAAACAAGGGGTCTCTCTGTAGCCCCAGCTGGCTTGGAACTCACTGTGTAGACCAGGCTGGCCTTGATCTTACAGAGATCTGCCTGCCTCTGCCTCCTGAGTGCTGGGATTAAAGGTGTGTGCCTGGCTTCTTGCGGCAATTTTAACTGGCTCAGGACTTTTTTCTTTGGGGGTGTTTTCTCCCTTGGTAACTTCATCTCTCCATCCTCTTAGATTGGTCTCTCTAGAGCTCAGGCCTTGGACCCCCTTCATCCTCACCCCCCCCCTTTGTAATCTCATCCAGCTTCCTGACTCTGGTGACGTCTTTCTCATTGAGACAGAGTCTCACTATATTGCCTCAGTTGGCCTAGAACTTGCTATATGGACCAAGTTGGCATCATGCCACAGAAATCCACCTGCCTCTGCCTCCTGAGTGCTGGGATTACCAGCATGTACCACCACACCTGATCTTGGTGGTGACTTTCCAAGTCTAGCACAGCCTCTCCTCTCAGCACCAAACTTCCACAGCTGACATTGTATTCCACATGAATGTTTTTAATAGACATCAAAGCAAATAACTCATCTTCAGACCTCCCTCTGTAGAGTCTGGTGAGAGCTTTAGTCTTCCAGATGCACAGGCCTAAACCATCAAGTCACCCTTGACTCCTGTCTCTCACCTCTGTCCTGATTGGGCCCTGCAGTTAGAGCGTGTTCTGTGACTGGGCTCTGCTGTTAGAACGTTCAGTGCCTGACTTCTTAGCACTGCAGCACTCTGAATACAGTTGTGGCTAGTTCTCCCCTGGTGACCCCATCTGCCCCTCCCATATCACCCTCACTCAGCTGTCAGTGATCCTAACAGATTTCTGACCTAGTCACTTGTGCTGGAAAAAAAAAAAATCTTTGCCATTCCTTGTAAATTATGACTGAGCCTGGCTTGTCCCTTTGATGTCTTCATGTCTGCTCCTTACCCAGCAGCCTCTTTGGTTGGTTGTTTTTCCTAGTGCTGGGACTTGAACTCAAGGCCGTGTGTGTGTTAGGCAGGTACTCTGCCCCTGAGCTACATCCCCAGCCCTCTTGCTGTCTCTCCAGCACACCGGCATAGTTCCCACTATATCTGCACATATTTTCTCCTTGATAAGATGATTTTCCCCAAGTATCTGCTTGGTTCATTTCCTACCTCTTATCCCCAGGCAGATTGGAATCCCTCTGAGTGAGGCCTGCTGTGGCTGTCCTGTTTCAGTACAGTAACTTCCTAGGAGTCCCTTTCCCTCCTCTGAGCATGTCCACCTGTACAGAGACCTCACGTGCTGAGACGTTTGAAGAGACTCGCCAGACTTGGAATCGTGCTCCTCAGGTGTTTATTTAAAGGCAAAGTAAGAGCACAGGCAGACGTTGGGGTCTGAGAGACCCAGGCCTAAACTCCCCAAATCCATCTTCACAAACAGTAGTTCTGACTGAACAGCAGAGTCTGTGGGACACGTTCCCACAGCCACCTCATGCAGTGGAGACCATCAGTAAGCCACTGACCCTGGGCTGCAGAGTCCTCTGGAAGGGGCTTCCCAGTGTGGCTGGAAGTGGACTTGGGCCTGGATGCCCTGTGAGGTGCTACAGCTTCTTGTCTTGGGGCTGGCAGCCCTCCCCCACATCTGCTCTCAGGATTGTGAGCACCGAGGCCGGTTTTGACGGCTGCTGTTGCTGTTTTCTCTCTTGCTACATGCGTGGCACATGTGCAATAAATGTGTGGAGGAGATTATTAGCTCAATGGGCTTGTCTTTAGCCGTGAATGATGCTGTGAAAGTCTTGTGAGCAGGAATTAAAAGGGAAATCTATTGAGGGGGAGCTCTGTTCCAGGGCCGTGGCCAGAAAATAACTAGTAGTGGGCTGTTATTAAAAATACTGGATCTGGAGTGCAGCGGGTGGCCCAGCAGGTTGAGATGCTTGCTACACAAGCCTGACTACCTGAACTTAATCCCCAGAACCCACGTAAAGGTGGAAGGAGAACCAACTCCACCTAATTGTCTTCTTAACTCCACATGCATGTATGCACATCATATACATACGCACGTAATAATAATAAATAGGCAAGTAGGTCTGTGAGGTGTGGTCATACCCACCTTTAATCCTTGTACTCTGGAGGCAGAGGCAGGTGAATCTCTTTGAGATCAAGGCTACCATGGTCTACATTGTGAGTTCCAGACCAGCCAGGGATATAGTGTGTCCCTGTCTCCAAAAAAAAAAAAGTAGGTCTGAGCCAGTAAGATGGGTCTGTGGTTAAGGGCGCTTGTCCCCAAGCCTGAGGACCTGAGTTTGAATCTTGAATCTTGGGTCCCACATGGGAAAGAGAGAACCAGCTCCTGAAAGCTGTCCTCTGACTCCTGTGCACATGCACACCCATGGGCGTGCACACACACAAAAGATAAAATGTAATTTTTTGCAGTGGATCTTTAGGGATCACATTGCTTTAAACACTGTGCTGTGGAGCCTCGAGTGTCTTACCATCTGTATGGTAGTGACCTGAATGTCTAACACCTTAGACACTTGAAGCTTCGTAGGAAGAGGGAGCTGCCCTGTTACTAAGGGTGGTGCCCTCACACTACTGCAGGACGGCACTTTTCCCTTGGCGGCCTGACACGTGCTTTCATTGACACGGAACACTGTTGTAACAGGCAACAGATTTTGCTTAGAGCCAATTTTGTTGGCTGCGTTGCTGATATTTTAGTGCAAGTGACTAGAAATAGGTGATATCATTTTGTGAAACAAACTGCAGTTTGGCAGACTGTTACACTTGTCACAAACATTGGTGGGACAGACTACAGTTAAACTTCTGGGTCTTCTGTTGTAGTGACCCTTATCAGGTGAAGCTCACTGTTCTGGGCTGTGTATGTGGAAGAAGTGACACGTTGTGACTCTTGTGGCCTAGGTCCGTCGTTTCAGAGAAAGCAGACAGAGAAATGCCGACGAAGAGGACGATGAAGTTCGAGAGGTAATTTTTCAGCCACACAGTCCTGTGTTCGTGGGTAAGTTGGTTGGACCACAATAGCTGGTGGGTAGGAGTGAGCACTGTCCAGTGGGCAGGACCACCACGACTCATTTGAGCTGTTTATATCCATTCCAAGTACTCTGTGCTGTCGTTGCTGTTTGACCTCTCGTCTGAAGCCTGCTTGTACATGTGGTGGGATGCGCAGGCTCAGAGAGAATCCTTATTGGTCAACTGTACCATCGTCTCGTTGTTATCAGAGCATCTTACGGAATAAGAAGACATTCTGCTCAGCAGTATTGCTGAGACAAACACTTTCTCGTTGCTGACGTAAACGTTGGCATTCACCAGGCATGGTCTTGGTCTCCTGGCCGGCCAGGAAAGGTAGGTTCGCAGCTGCTACTGAAGTTCTGGGCCTCTGGCTGGTACTTGGTGAAACCGTGAGTGAGCACACTTTCCGATTGTTCTTCGTGTTTTGACTGCTGTCTGCCAGTCCACAGCTGCTTCACATGTTACTGACTCGGGTTTTGCCCTGGTTGCTTTCCATCAGCATACACTTCTCACGGCGAGCATGTTAAACATTCTGCTTTCTGCCAGGAGCACAAGTGTGAAAAGGTGTAGCCTGGGCCCGCTGGAGCGCCCTAGCACAGTGAATGACATCTCTGTGGACAGTAGGTACTGAGTCATTCTCAGTACCTTGTTACCACTTAGCTCATACTTTACAATCGAGGACGCGGTGCTCATACTCAGGTCATCCGTGGGGCTGCAGTGTGGACATATTTCTGCCTCCAAGTCTAAACTTTTCACCAGCCCGTGTCCTTCAGAAGTCCAGTTGTCGTCATATTTATTTGTGGCCAGTGAATGGCTAAAAACTGAAAGCTGCTGGCTGAGCCCACCAACACCCGTGCCGGTGGTGTTCCTGGTGCACCTGCCGCACAGTTGCAGGCTGCATTCTAGAAACCAGGGGAAGAAGCAGTAGACGGTTTACTTACCACATTCTTAAATTTGTATTCATTTTACAAGGTGCTCTTAAAAGAGAAGAATGTGCTAGAAAGAAATGTCTCCTGTTGTGGGTCATCTGGCTAACGTTGATCAGCCCTTTAGATTCAACATGGCACAGAATGTTTCTGTTGCGTCCTTTGAAGCCACTAACCCCAGCTTTCCATTCATCTTCCAAGAGGGCAAGTGTGGGGGCTACACGCATGGCTCTGTGGTAGAGTACTCGCCTGCCATGTCTGAGGCTGTGGGATTCTTCCCAGCACCACCAAAGAGTGATTATGGACATTTTGTACAGGGAAGGAAAAGACGTGCCACAGTTCAGCTGGGAGCCTTCACAGGAAAGTTGTTGAATTTAGGTTTTTAGCTACATTTTAAACGCTGTGGGTGCCAGGGCTTCAGTCTGTTTTCTGTTGCTGCATCAAAATGCCTGAGACCAGATGCTTTATAAAGCATAGAGCTTTATAAAGATCAGTACTAGAGGCTGGAAGGGCCAGAGAAGATGATGTCAGCATCTGGTGAGGGTTCCCCTGCAGGGTCCTGACATTATAGATGGCGAGACATGGTAGGACAGCAAGTGTGCTAGAGAGAGCTACCTTTTATAACAAGACCACTCCACCATGACCCGGGTCCATTAATCTGTGAATAGATGATTCTCTTCGCAAGAGCTGAGCCACCATGCAGCCATGATCACTCCATTCTGTTCATGTGTACAGGATGAAGTTTTCAACACATGATGTCTAGAAGACACATTCAGACTGTAAGGACTTCAGGCAGGCCGTGGGAGTGTTGCAAGGTGGCCTCAGCATCCTATTTAGGATTGAGTAATAGATTTGACACTCTCTCAAGATGTAATTCACAGCTCTGCAGAATTGCTGAGCTCAAAATAAATCCTAATACCATACTTCAATAGTTTTAACAGACAAATGGAAGTATCAGTCCTTCTGTGTGGAAGAGAAAAAACATATACCTCACGGCTTCTTGTTCACCTGTTCTTTAAATATAAGTTCACATTGTATTTAGGGCCAGACAGTAAAGACCACCTGTGATCTCTGTCACATGTGCATGTTCTTACAACCTCTGAAAATGTGAAAACTGGAACTGGACAGATGGCTCAGCAGGCATGGCTCCTCTTGCAGAGGACCCAGGTTCAGTCCCAGCACCCACATGGTAGCTAACAACCATCCTTAACTCCAGTCCAGGGGATCTGACACTCTGGCCTCCACAGGCATTGCATGCACAGATACACTCACATACATGCAGGGAAAACACTCATACACCTAAAATAAAAACTTTTAAATGTAGAAAATATTCTTACTCCTTAATTTATTCAGCTTCTAAATTCTGTCTGAATTTGAGGCAGGGTTGGTACACCGCCCTTTCAAAGTGGGAGGAGGTACATACAGATCATTTGTCCAGGAAATTAATGCCCACGTTGCATCAAAGGGTTCTAAAATTCAGCAAGAATGTAACACCAGCAACCTTAAAATAGACAAAAGACTGGAATAGACAGCTTTTTCCAATTTGCCAGTAGTCAGTCAGCCTTATGATTGTACTCGTAATGGAGATGCTGAGCACCACTACCTCATTAGAGAAGTGAAGATAAACCCCAGTGAGACACCGCCTCAACCTGTTAGGTTAGGATGGCTGTTAGAACAGGGAGAGAAAGCATGGGCACAGGATGGGGGTAGCGGGCTGTCACGGGTGTGCAGAGCTGGGCATGGGATGGGGGCAACGGGCTGTCATGGGGGTGCAGAGCTGGACACGGGATGAGGGCATGGGTTGTCACAGGTGTGCAGAGATGGATCCCCCGTACCTTGGTAGAAGGGCAATGGGTGCACCCGGTATGGAAAATAATATGGCAGCTCCAAGGAAAAGTTAAACACAAAATTGCCATGTGGCCTTAGTGTCCCCAGCTAGGTATGTGGCCAAAAGGATGGAAAGCAGGGTCTTAAATAGATGCCTCCATGCCAGTGTTCATGGCATGTGGCTGACAGTTGCCAAAAGTTAGAAACAACTCGAATGTCTGTAAACCGGCGAGTGGCTGAACAAAATGGTACCTGCCTGCAAGGGCATGTTAGTGAATCTTTAACCGCTGACGTGTGCGTCAACATGGATAACATCTGAATGCGTGCTGACTGGAACAGTGCCAGATTCAGATGGACAGACAGTACTCCACTTAACTTGCGGTTCCTGTGTTACATAGGGACACAGCAGACAAGTGGCCCCGGGTGCTAGGGAGTATTGTTAGTGGAGCTTCAGTGTGGGCTAAAGCGAAGTCCTAGAGGTCAGTACGCGGTAAGTCAGCCTGTTGTTTAAACATGATGTTTGAGAACATGAAATGGAGACACAGAATTTGGACAAAGAAAAATAAAAAATTTAGAAAAGGTGATTGGCTTTTCAAGAAATCATCACCCCAATGGGGCGTAGGAAGCTTGAGGCTCACAGCAGCCTGCTTCTGCCCAGTGTATTTGGGGTGTGTCCTCCACACCCCCACATCCTTCCTGTCTTGAGTCTGAGGATAAGATGCCGTTTCTCACTGCTGTGTTCAGTGCATGGCTCCTTTCTTTCCTTGAGGGAGCAGGTTTATGTTCACAGAGCGTCCGTCCGTTCTTACAGTGAGGGAGCAGGTTTACACAGCGTTCATAGGCTCCCTTCTCTGCTTTCAGATCTTGAGCTGGGAGGAGGAAAAACACTGGTCCTCATATAATTGATCTGTAAGGACTTTCACTTAAACATGTTCTTTCTCTCACATATACATGTGCACATGCACTCCTGGTACATTTAGTGTTTTGCTGTGTAGAGGAAGTATCCACCATTCCTGAAGCCTGCTTATTTAAAGCAGGAATGGCTGGAAAATGGAGGCTTTCCTGGCCTTCGGGAGGTAAGTATTCTGTTAATGGGAGTTGTGTTGACGTGAGTCATGTAGTTACCTGTCCTCCCCTCCATCTGTACACACCAGTAGTTGAACGCCAGTCTTGCAGGTGCTCCTGGGCGCTGTCTGCTTTCCTAAGAAAGGTTCCGACCTTTCCTTTCTGTCCGGGCCGTGCTTTGTTGGCACTATGTCGGGCTTTGTGAGAACCTGGAGCTCACTCTCTGCTCTGGCGTCTTGGAATAGCAGTAGGCCTGTGCTTTGGAAATTTGGTCGTTTACCTGCGGAGCATCCTGGTTATCTGGATAGTCTTAACAGTTTTCTAAAAAAATCCTTTTTTGCTAATTAGACTGTTCTTGTGTTTAGGTTTTCCAGATTACATAGAACTGTGTTCCAAGTTTGTCTGTCCTGTTATTGTGTTTGTGTGTGTATGTATGAGTGTGCATGTTGCTTTTTACTTATCCTTTCTTGTGTGTACGTAGGTGTGTCTGGGTGTGCATGCATGTGTGGGAGGATGCACGTCGATGTGTGTGTATACGGAGGATGTGTGTGTGTGTGGAGGGCACATGTGTGTGGAGGGCGTGTTCTTGTGTGTGTGTGTGGACGGTGCGTGTGTGTGGAGGGTGCGTGTGGAGGGCGTGTGTGTGTGTGTGTGGAGGGTGTGTGTGTGTGTGTGGAGGGTGTGCGTGTGTGTGGAGGGTGCGTGTGTGTCTGTATGTGTGTGTGGAGGCCGTAGCGTGACCTCAGTGTGTTCCTCAGTTGTTTCCACCATACTTTTGAGACAGTCTACTGCCGACTGTGGAGCTCGTTGATTACACCGAGCTGGCTCCGGGGATCTTTCCATCTCCTCCCCAGTGCTGGGATCACAGGCACGTTTCACACCCTCACTCTACCATCTGAGCCATCTCCCAATACCCCTCCTTTGTTGGTTTTTTTCTTGTTTTTCTGAGAGGGTTTCCTGTTGGCCTGGTGCTCATCCAGGAGGCTGGGCCGGCCAGCCAGCTGCTGAATCCCAGAAATCTGCCCTTGCCTCCCTTGTGATAGAATTACTGCTGTGTATCACCTCACCCAGCTTTCTACGTGGGTGCTAGAGACCGAACCCAGATCCTTATGCTTGTAAGGCAGACGCTTTACTGACAGAGCCATCTCTGTACACTCCATCCCACTCCTCGTCCAGGCCTGTGCCCTCTCATGCATTCCTCCCACTGCCTGATGGCAGAGCGGAGCTTAGAAACTCTCGGGTCTCCTGCTCTTAGATGCAGAACTTGCCTTTTTAGGCAAGAAAGACAGTTGTCATGGCCCCTGAGAGAGACTTCACTACTGGCAAGCTGCCCCTCTCAGCTCTCTTCCTAGCAGGTCAGATGTTAACTGCCCTTAAAAGATAGCATTCGTGGGCTTGGATTGTTCTGATTTTATTGAGAGCACGTTTGGGCTGGGTATGGTGGTGCACACATTTAATCCCAGCACTCAGGTGGCAGAGGCAGGCAGATCTCTGTGAGTTCAAAGCCAGCCTGATCTACACAGTGAGTTCCGGACCAGGTTGGGCTACAGGGAGACCCTGTCTCAAGAAAGAGAGTTTTGAGGGCTAGAAATACGGCTCAGTGGTTAAAAGCCATTGCTGCTCTTGCAGAGGACTTGGGTTTGTTCCCAGCGCCCACATCAGGCAAGTCACAACCACCTGAACCTCTGGTTCCAGGGATCCAACACCCTCTGGCCTCCAGTGGCACCAGCATGCATGTGGTGCACACACACACATGAATAAAAAAAAAAATTTATTTTTGTTCTTTCTGTTATATTTTGACTGATTCAAGTGTGATTAGGGCAGAATTGCTTTTATTCTATTTAAACTACTCATTTTAGAATTAGACTATTTGTCTGTCTCAGATTTTACCTTTCTGAATGTCTTTTAAAAATTTTTATTATATTTTACTGTTTATTGTTATTTTTATGTGTATGAGTGTATTGTCTGCATGTATGTAAGTGTATACATGTCATGCAAAGCTCACGGAGGTCAGAGACCATATCAAATTCCCCTGAAACCGGAGTTATGGATGGTTGTTAGCCACCATGTGGGTGCTGGGAATCAAACCCGGATCCTCTGCAAGAGCAGTCAGAGTTCTTAACCACTGAGCCAGCTCTCCAGGCCCATAAATGTTTGTTTGTTTGTTTATTTATGTATTTATTTTTGGTCTTTTTGAAGCAGGGTCTCCCTGTAGCCCCAGCTGTCCTGGAACTCACTATATAGACCAGGCTGGCCTTGAACTCAGAGATCCGCCTGCCTCTGCCTCCCACGTGCTGGGACCATAGGTGTGTGCCACCATGCCCAGCTAATATTTTATTATTTTTATTTTATGTGTTATGTGCCTGCGTTATGTAAGTGCACCCATGTTGTGCAATGCCTGTGGAAGTCAGAAGAGGGCGTCAGATTCCCCTGGGACTGGAATTACAGGTGGTTGTTAGCTACCATGTGGGTTCTGGGAACTGAATCTGGATCCTCTGCTCTAACCACTGAGCAATCTCTCCAGTCCCTTAAACGCTCCCTTATAAATGAGGAGAGTGGTGTACTCTTGGATCTAAGAAGTTAATTCCTTTTCAGGTCTTTTTATATAAGTTTATAAGAGGCTATTTAGTGCTCATGTTTTTCTGAATATAAAAGCGGTATTTTAGAGGCTGAAGACATGACTCAGTGGTTAAGAATGCTGGCTGCTCTTGAAGAAGGCCAGGATTCTATTCCCAGCACCCACATGGTGGCTAATAACCATCCATAACTCCAGTTCCAGGGAATCCCAACATCTTTTCTGACCTCCGAGGGCATTGCACATACATACATGCAGATAATACACTCATACACATAAGATAATATAAAAACAAACTTTTTTAGTAGTATTTTAGGGGGCTGGAAAGATGGTTCAGTGGTTTGAGCATGTATTGCTGTTCCAGAACCCGAGTTTGGTTCCCAGCACCCACATTAGACAGCTCACAACCACCTGTAAGTCCACATCAGGGGCATCTGACAGCTCTGGCCTCAAAAGTCAGCTGGACTCGTGTGCATATACCCAATAGAGAACATGCTTAAAAATAGTAAGTCTTGGTGCTAGAGAGATGGCTCAGTGGTTAAGAGCACTGACTCCTCTTACAGAGGACCCGGCTTCAATTCCCAGCACGCACATGGAGCCTACGAACCGTCCTTAACTCCAGTTCCAGGGGATTCTGAAGCCCTCTTCTGATCTCCCCAGCATTGCGCGACACGGGTGCACTCACATACATGCAGGCAATACACTCATACACATAAAATAATAAAATATTTAAAAAATAGTCTGGTCTGTCGTGGTGGCTCACGCCTTTAATCCCAGCACTTGGGAGGCAGAGGCAGGAGGATGTTTGTGAGTTTGAGGCCAGCCTGGTCTACATAGTAAGTTCCAGGACAGCTGGGGCTACAAGGAGACCCTGTCTAAAAAGACCAAAAAAAAAGTCTTTTAGGAAAAAATGTATTCAGGAATAAGAAAGAACAAAACCACCCTAGAATTTCACCATTCAGATACAAGCTGTTTTTGCAAGTGTTTTGTCTTTTTGTAATTTATCTTTTTAAAGAGCTAATTTTTTTAAAAGTATTCCGATGACTGTCTCCTACAAATGCGGTATTGGATTAGGTGTGATTCTCAGTATTCTTTACGATTTTGAAAATGTTGATTCTAAAAACTGTTTTTCTTGGTAACCCTTCTAGAAGGTCTCATCAGGCAGGGAGCTCGTTGGTCTGAGAAGTGGCTGAATTTGATTGCCGTGTAGCACAGAACATACGTGACCATGTTGGCAGGTGGCCAGTGCTAAATGATCCTGTGACTGGAGGGTGGCAGTTTGAATCCTGTCTCTGTTAATGTGCTGCCCCCACTGTCCCTGCCACACAGGCCATGAACAGGGCCCGGGCCCTCAGATCCCAGTCGGAGAACTCAGCTTCCGCCTTCAGCAGTGATGACCTCACGAGTCTAGATGTAGCAGAACAGACAGCAAATGACTCTGACGACAGCCTGTCAGCAGTGCCCAGCAGAGGACGAGGCCGCGGCCGAGGCCGGAGAGGAGGCAGAGGGCAGAGTGCCGCACCGAGAGGCGCATCTCAGAGGGGCCGAGGAGGTCAGCATCCGTCTTTGCCTTTCACTGCAGATGTGCAAGCTGTGAGAGATTTATCCAGTTGTGTCTTCTGGTCAGAACTCTGTTAAGAGGTTTTGTTTTTATAAACACTGATTTCTGTAATGCCTAACAACCATTTTTAATGCAGTTCTGACACGTACCTGTTGTTTGGATGAACTATGGGCAGCAAGGGGTTTGAATTACCGTTATCCGTGTTCCTCAGGAATGTCTGTGCCTCTCATGTACTCTGATGAGGACAGAGGAATGATGACACAAATAAGAATTTATGAGAGTGGCCAGCGAATCACCACTCCAGGTCACTGAGCATTTTGTTCCTGTCAGAAGACAATGCCAGCGGGTTTGTGGTCTCCATAGAATTGGTTTAAAAAGGAAGACTGCCCAAGCACCTTGATTTCAAAGGCCATCGCTGGGACCACTGACCTGGTGGTCCAGATGGGATGGCCGTCCAGGGCCTTTCTGCTGCTGTTCTGTAATATGCCACTAGGGGGCACGCTCAGTTGTCTGCAGTGGCTGTTTCCATGGGAACTTGAAGCTGGTAACATAGGTTGTGATTTGGGTCTGTTGGTGAGGACGGCTTTACAGGGTGTGTCCTTCCTGTTCACTGGAAAGTGAGACCCAGGGTGGCCTGAAAGTCTCAAACTGATCGTCACACTCTGGAGTTTGTTTTCATGCTCATGCCTGGCTTTCTGCACAGTGTTTTGGCCTTTCTACGGCGCTTTCTGTTTGGCCTGTGCTCACTCAGCTGCCATGGGATTGTGACTGGCTGCTTATGTTTCTGATTGCAGGCACCAGGCTGGAGACTTCTACTCAGAGCAGGAGCTCGAAGGCCACTGCGTCAACCTCTCGAAATATGTCCATTTTAGATGGTAAGTACAGACCATGGTGCGTGTCTCGTCAGTTATCAGTCCCAACACAGGGAGACTGAAAGCCCCACTGACCACGGGTTTATTCAGGTTGCATTCTCTGTGGTCAGAAGAGCTGCTGAGATAGTCACCTGTGAGTGTTGTTGGGCTGGACACAGCTTGGCAGTAGAACGTACCTTGCCTGTACCAAGCCCTGGCTTTGAGCTCCAGCACTGGAAAACAGACTAGAAAGCTTGTCCTGTGTCAGACTGTTGGAGGAATCAAATCCACAGTTCTTTATACTGTGTTATTTTGAGACTTTGATACCATTTACCTTTGACAGAGATCCTGAAGAGAAGTGAGGCTGGTGAGGGCACGTGGAAGGCTAGAAACACTTAATTTACCTGAGAGAGGCACCTGGGAGAGGTCCAGAACAGCTTGCCTCCTTCCTCAGTGTAGAAAGGACTTGGAAAGAAGTTGAGTCTAGGCGGTAAGACAAGCAGAGCCAGAGCCTGGTCAGTAGTCAGCACTGAGCTGTCGCTACAGGAAACAACAGCCTAGGGGCTGGAGATGCTCAGTGGTCAGGAGCACTGGCTGCTCTGCAGGGGACCTGGGTTCGGTTCCCAGTACCCACTTGGCAGCTAACAACTGTCTGGAACTCTCGTTCCACAGGATCTGATGCCTTCTATCCTCTGTGGGTATTGCACCACATGAGTGCACTTACGCACATGCAGGCAAAACATTCACACACGTGAAATAAAGATAAGATTTTTTTTTTTTTTTTTTTTTTTTTTTTTTTTTGTCTTTTTGAAGCAGGGTCTCCCTGTAGCCCCAGCTGTCCTGGAACTCACTATGTAGACCAGGCTGGCCTTGAACTCACAGAGATCCACCTGCCTCCGCCTCCCAAGTGCTAGGACTACAGGCGTGTGCCACCATGCCTGGCAAAAATATGATATTTTTAAAAAAATAGAGCAGCCAGGGGTGTCCACTCCCACGCTACGCCTCCACAGTGCCATGAGTACCGGCCACCACATTAGCCCAGGGCCTTGTCTCATCCTGGACTAATTATTGTTCTGTGCAGAGCGTTCCTTGAAACTAGTGTGTGTGTGTTTGTACATGTGTGAGGATTGTACATGTATGTATGTATGTATATATGCATCTGTGTATGCGTATGTGTGTGCGCGTGTGCGTGTGTCCCTGTGTGTGCAGAGCATGGATCCGTGTCTGACTGTCTAATTAGGATTTGGCCTCTGTGACCTGCTCTGGTCCCCTTTCTGTTCTTCATGGTGACTCATCTCTTTGTTTGCTCTGTTCACTATTGTCACTAAGAAATTATCAGTGTAATTTGAGGCCTCAGGAGATGCTGTCTGCTCCCAGAGAAGCTTTATTTTTGTCTCTGGCTTCTGCGGCCCCCGAGGTTTTACCAGTATAGACCAGATGTGTGTGACTTGAGGGTTATCTGGGCAGTCAGGTAATGCTTGTGAAATCTAGATCTTTTGTTTTTTTGAGACAGGATCTCACTATGTAACCCTGGTTGGCCTGAAACTCATTAATTAAACCAGGCTGGCCTTGATTGCACAGAGATCTGCCTGCCTCTGCCTCCCAAGTGCTGGGGTTAAAGATGTGCTCCATCCAGGTCAGCTGGGCTACAGCAAGACCCTGTCTCAAGCATACAAACAAAAAAGGTGTGTACCACCATGTCCCAAGGCCACTAAAGCTTTCAAAACCAATTCTAACGTTTTTCCTTAAAGACAGCCTCTGCTCAGGTTGTTTTCAGTGGACATGTTTGTTCAAATTCTGTGGCCATTGATGAGCTGGTAGAGATCGTACACCCGCTATTCAGGAAACTTCCGGTTCCCTTCACTCTGAGAGTGCCTGTGAGGTACTGACTTCACAGGAGTTGAGTGAGCCTATGTGTCTGAGTGCTGAGTCTGGGTGGTGGTGAGTGAGTCGCCGCCCTAGAGGTGGCAGTTTCACAGCTAAATTTATGCTGGTGGGTGGTATACGCATTTTATATTGCTAAGTGTCCAACCCAGGACCTCACATGCTAGGTAGGCACTCTGCTACTGAGCTATACCCCTAGCAGAAGTGGATGCTATGTAAATCATCGGTCTAAATTTGTCTCTAATTGATTTGATCCAGTAGTTTTGCTAGTTTAACGAATTACCTCCAGTATTGGGCCTTTTTTGAAAAGATAAGTGATTTTTAATTTTATTTTAAAACTTACCATGCAGGTGGTAAAACGTCTTGTTAGGTTTGGGGTTTTAACCCTAAGGCACCTACTCTGTAACTTGCAAGTGTCTGCGGCAAGCCCAGGGGAACAGCAGTAATAAAGGCCGCACTTGGTCACAGCGAGCTCCCTGCAGTAAGGGATTGATGGTTGTACCGAAATTTTGTGGCAGAAGGAAGAACTTGCACTTGTAGCCAGCGGCCGTTATAAATAAGAGTTGACAGCTAGGCTTTCCCCACTGAGGCTGCTCAGCAGAGGATAGGACTGAAAGACACCTGGCTACTGCCTCTGCCTGTGATTTACCTCTGTGGGTCTCAAGGTGGACTCCAGGCACTGTGTAGGAATGCTTGCTTCCTGCTAGGCACTTGACAAAGCAGTTTGCATTAAGTGCCTCTTTATCCTTCCAGTGAGTTTTCTGTGTAAAGTATCGGCACTATTTTACAGGTGAGGGAATTGAGACTTAAATAAGCCAAGTAACTTGGCCACAGTCGCCAGCTAGGAAGCCAGAATGAGTCTCTCTCCGGAGCACAGCCTCGCGGTGCAGTGCCGATTTTCTGATCAAGTTACTTGATTGCACAAGCAAGCATTCTTTCTGTTTGCTCTCTGCTAGGAATCAGAAAAAAAAAAAACACAAAAGTGTTCGATTTCAGGGACTGTGGGATTTGGCAAGAGACAGGTAGTGAATGAGTCCTGAGCAGCCATGTTTTGGAGGCCTCAGGGTCTCTTCTGTGCTGGTCGTCTGCCCACACCATCCATGTAGAGTGCAGGCTGCACAGTTATAGCAGAACAGGTGAGAACTGGGCTCCCGAGCCTTTCATCCTTCCTGTGAGGCAGGCCTCGTCCAGAGCCTGGAAGTAGGAAGCCTGAGAGGTGACAGGCTTAGGCTGGGTAGGAAGATTTCTGGGTCTGCTGACCAGGAGGGCGTTGGGTTTGGAAGGATCCCTTGGCTTTTAAAGCCCTGTCTTTCTGTGCCCTGTTCTGAGTGGAGGTTGTCTTGAAGAGGATATGCAAAGTTTTCTGACTGGTTACCGTGGGTTTTGCAGACAGGACTCTAACCTCTTGGCTGAAGAAGCATACACGTCCTCCTGAGTTATTTTAAGAACTCCCTAACAAGTATTTCATCTGCTTTTCTAGCCTTCAGATCTACCCGACAGGTCCCATCTAGAAACATTGCTACTAAGAACTACTCAGAGGTGAGAAAGCTGTTACAGTTCTGTGTTCAGGATTTATGTATCCTGCATTGTGGGCTGTCAACTGTTCAACTCACAGAATAAATAAAAGGGAAAAACTGTGGACATCTACACTGAAGGACTTCATGGTTTTGACTGAGGGCTCTTGGGAGTTGCTTTTCTTGTTTCTCTGTTTAAAAAACAAAACACAAAAAAACAGTGGTTCACATTACGAGAAAACCATCAGGTTTGAAGGACAACCATGCTAGACCAAAGGCCCTGCCTGGACCTGGTGCTCCAGTGAGTTGATCAGAAGGAGAGGTTTTTTCATAGTAGTGTGGACTCGGGACTAGTTGAAAAGCCAGAGTCTCCGGGGCCCTGTGCTCTGCTCCAAATTGAACACCAGCTCTGCCCCCACTTTGCATTCTGAAAGGCGCCCAGCAGGAGTCTGTCCTCAGAGTCCTAAGCCTTCCTCTCATGCCAGGCTTGCCCAGCACAGTTGCTGTCAGGACTGGACATTTTGCATCAGGCAATTCTGCTTGGTGAAAGGGTACCCTGTGCACTGTGGGGTGTGTAATGGGTATCCTGTGCACTTGAGAGCTGAAACATTGAAGGTTTAACTTCTCATCAGCGCCCAGAGAGAAAAGTGCAGGGCAGGCTGCACTTGAACCTACACAAGTCACTCTTCTGTGTTTTGTTAGGAGCTCAGGCTCTGGTGATGGCCAGGAGTGGGCGAAGGCAGACTGGAGAGTAACTTTTATGAAGCAAGAGGGAGCTCGGACTAGGTTTAGCTTTTTCCCAGAACAGAGCCTTGCCAGGGGCCCTACCCCCAAGCCCATTCCCAGCTGTTTCATTTTAACAGCAGTTGCTTGTGTGGTTTGTAGACTTAACCTATGTGTGCACCTCGAGAGTCTACTGTTTAATTCATCCTCTGTTCCTGTCCCATCCATGAAAACCGATCTGTGGCTGTGCTTCCTTCTTAGGCAATCGAGGTGGATGAGTCTGATGAAGATGACATTTTTTCTGCCAGTTCCAAGGCTGACCAAAGGTAGACTAAGGACTTCCTGCAAAAACAAAAGCAAAACTACAATTACCCAGAATTCTATAGCAGTACGTTCTTCTGTGACAGAGAAAATAAACAGAATTTAGTAAAGTGTGCAGGGGCGTGAGGGCATGACTCAGCATTCCTGCAAGCACACCCCCCCAAACAACCTGTGACTCGACTCCACCTGCATCACCCAGTCATCTTACAAAAGACACTTCAAAACTAGTAGAAAACCATTGTGTTAATGTGGATCTCAGCTTTTCTGTACTGTTTGTTCTGTGCTTTACACATACGCCATGCTGAACATTCAGAGAGGCTGAGTTGGACTCACTCTAGATTCCCCGCACGGCTGACGTGGTCTCTCTAGGGTCCCTGCACGGCTGACGTGGTCTCTCCAGGGTCCCTGCACGGCTCACGTGGTCTCTCCAGGGTCCCCGCACGGGTGACGTGGTCTCTCTAGATTCCCTGCATGGCTGATGTAGTCTCTCTAGATTCCCCGCATGGCTGACGTGGTCTCTCCAGGGTCCCTGCACGGCTCACGTGGTCTCTCCAGGGGCCCCGCACGGGTGACGTGGTCTCTCTAGATTCCCTGCATGGCTGATGTAGTCTCTCTAGATTCCCCGCATGGCTGACGTGGTCTCTCCAGGGTCCCTGCACGGCTCACGTGGTCTCTCCAGGGGCCCCGCACGGGTGACGTGGTCTCTCTAGATTCCCTGCATGGCTGATGTAGTCTCTCTAGATTCCCCGCATGGCTGACGTGGTCTCTCCAGGGTCCCTGCACGGCTCACGTGGTCTCTCCAGGGGCCCCGCACGGGTGACGTGGTCTCTCTAGATTCCCTGCATGGCTGATGTAGTCTCTCTAGATTCCCCGCATGGCTGACGTGGTCTCTCCAGGGTCCCTGCACGGCTCACGTGGTCTCTCCAGGGGCCCCGCACGGGTGACGTGGTCTCTCTAGATTCCCTGCATGGCTGATGTAGTCTCTCTAGATTCCCCGCATGGCTGACGTGGTCTCTCCAGGGTCCCTGCACGGCTCACGTGGTCTCTCCAGGGGCCCCGCACGGGTGACGTGGTCTCTCTAGATTCCCTGCATGGCTGATGTAGTCTCTCTAGATTCCCCGCATGGCTGACGTGGTCTCTCCAGGGTCCCTGCACGGCTCACGTGGTCTCTCCAGGGGCCCCGCACGGGTGACGTGGTCTCTCTAGATTCCCTGCATGGCTGATGTAGTCTCTCTAGATTCCCCGCATGGCTGACGTGGTCTCTCCAGGGTCCCTGCACGGCTCACGTGGTCTCTCCAGGGGCCCCGCACGGGTGACGTGGTCTCTCTAGATTCCCTGCATGGCTGATGTAGTCTCTCTAGATTCCCCGCATGGCTGACGTGGTCTCTCCAGGGTCCCTGCACGGCTCACGTGGTCTCTCCAGGGGCCCCGCACGGGTGACGTGGTCTCTCTAGATTCCCTGCATGGCTGATGTAGTCTCTCTAGATTCCCCGCATGGCTGACGTGGTCTCTCCAGGGTCCCTGCACGGCTCACGTGGTCTCTCCAGGGGCCCCGCACGGGTGACGTGGTCTCTCTAGATTCCCTGCATGGCTGATGTAGTCTCTCTAGATTCCCCGCATGGCTGACGTGGTCTCTCCAGGGTCCCTGCACGGCTCACGTGGTCTCTCCAGGGTCCCCGCACGGGTGACGTGGTCTCTCTAGATTCCCTGCATGGCTGATGTAGTCTCTCTAGATTCCCCGCATGGCTGACGTGGTCTCTCCAGGCTCCCCGCACGGCTCACGTGGTCTCTCCAGGGTCCCCGCACGGGTGACGTGGTCTCTGTGGTCTCTCCAGGGTCCCTGCACGGCTGACGTGGTCTCTCTAGATTCCCCGCATGGCTGACGTGGTCTCTCTAGATTCCCCGCATGGCTGACGTGGTCTCTCCAGGGTCCCCGCACGGGTGACGTGGTCTCTCTAGGGTCCCCGCACGGCTGACGTGGTCTCTCTAGGGTCCCTGCACAGCTCACGTGGTCTCTCTAGATTCCCCGCACCGCTGACGTGGTCTCTCTAGATTCCTCACACGGCTGACGTGGTCTCTCTAGAGTACTTAGGTTCTCTTGGTCACCTTTTTGGTTTTTGCCTGTGGTGCTAAGATGACTTCATTCCAGACTACCATTTTCTTTCATGTGTTGACATCCTGGGGAAACACTGCTTATCTAAAACTCAGTGTGTGTTTCTACTAGTGACAATAATCAGTGGCTCTTTTCCTTTTCTTCTCAGCACTTTGCATATTCTGTTAGGACCTGAGGGGAACATAGCATGTTTTACTATGGCTGCTGACTTGGGCTGTTTAAATTGTACCGGACGGGAGTACATTAAGGGTGATTGAATCAGTTCATAATTACATGTGAAGTTTTATAATGCAGACCCTTAATTATCAGTGCTTGTGGGAAAAGAACACACTTCATGGGCTGTGGCAGGACATATTGCAGAATAGGGAGCTTTTCCAAAGATCCTTCTGTCCTATTAGGGAAACAGCTATAATTTGGATGAACAGCAGTTCTGTTTTCTGTGGTTCGGAAGTGGGTGGCCAGGCACTTGACAAGCCATAAGAGTTGTGGGGGTAACAGGTGCTGACATCACACCAAGTTCTGGGGAGTTAAGCACATTAGACGTTAACTTTACAAAATTTTCCCCATTTGACAGATAAAGAAGTTGAGGCACAGAGGGGTAAGCAACATAGCTAGTAAATGGTATTTTGACCATGAAGCTCTTTTGAAATTAGAATCCTTGTACCATAGAAACATTGAACAGTCCAGACGTGGAAGTGTTGTGTTTAGGGTTCCTCAGGGAGACAGAGCCAGGACTGTGTATACACACCCATGATGTATGCACAGCCTGTGTGTGTAATATACACATGGATATGTACAAATACATCTTGTGATACATATACACACACGGGAGTTAGGTGGTTGCTGTGGGATTGACATTTTAAACGCAGTACATGTTTGATGAAGTCTAACTCACTGGTCTTGGTTTTTCCTTCTCTCTTCCTCAGGTGGTCAGGCCCATCGTCCAGCAAACGAATGTCTCAGAGCCAGATAGCCCAAGGGGTTGATTTTGAGTCAGATGAGGTAATAAATTCATGGCATTACATTTTAGCTATCGTACCTGTTTATTAGCAGTAAATGCAGACTGCTAGCTAGATGCCACGAGTGACCCTTTTCATTCTCACTGATAACCTTATGGAGCATCGTGCTGAGGGCAGGCGTGTCCACTGGTGCGGTTATTCTGTGAAGGCCTGGGGTTTTTAGTGGGACGCTCAGCCCTCGTCTGTCCCACTGGCAGCACCAGAGTTGGGGGTTTGCTTTCAGCTTCTGCCCTTTGTCTTTGGAACATGGTTTAGGGTTTAGTGACACTAAGGTGTTATTCTAGTGGTGTGCTCACTGTGTTCCCGACACACACACACGTGCACACATGTACACACATGTGTGCACACGGTGCCACTCCTCACATCATGCAGGTATCAGGCGGGGATAAGTTGCCCTGTGGCAGGACATGGATTTGCAGAGTTGTGTGAACGAGAAGGGGAATGGTACAGTCATGACTTGCCTCACTGTTTCGGTGTTTGAATGATTTATTTATTTATTATTTATTTGTCTTTTTGAGACAGGGTCTCCTTGTAGCCCCAGCTGGCCTGGAACTCACTGTGTAGACCAGACTAGCCTTGATCTCACTGAGATCTGCCTGCCTCTGCCTCCAGAGTGCTGGGATTAAAGGTGTGTCACCACGCCCGCTGTCTTTCTTCCTTTCTTTTCCTCCCCCTCCCTTTCTCCCTCCAAGTATCATTGTGGCATCTTAACCTTGTTACGTGCACAGCTTGCTGTGAAACATTCACCTTACAATGCAGACCTCTAGAATTTTCAGTCTTGCAAAACTGAGTGAATCCCTCAAAGATAAGAATAAGAATTTCTGTCGTCTCCTCAGTGTGAGCAGTCTCTGACCTAACATCTCTGCATTTCAGGATGATGATGATGACCCTTTCATGAGCATTAGTTCTCTAAGGAGAAGCCGAAGATAATGTTTTTAATAGAACTTAGAAACTTTCAAGATACAGGAGAAAAAAATCAAAGCACCACACACTCACTTTACATTGGAAGATGTTTTAACTGCTATTAACTGAGGAATCTGAGAAGCTGGTCAACAGAGAAGCTGGGTATAGGGTTTGCGTTTTGGAGTGTGATTTCTTGGACTGGACTCCATAAAGAGATTCCCAACTCAGGCACTAAGAGCAGCTCTGTCACATAGGTTTTAATCCTCTGTTGCCATCACAGGGGAGGCCATGGTGGTTTAGATGGTTCTTTCCTGACATAATGGCATGCTTCCTGCTGAGAAGAGCTTTGCTTGAATGCACTCCAGAGTGAAGATGGAGAAAATGCCCCAGCATGCTTCTGCAGCCCAACTGAGGGGAGAGTGTACGAAACCACAATCTTCCTAATTCTGATCATCTCTAGATAGTCTGGATTTCCTGAAAATTAAGTCATTGTGTGAACCTGCCTGAGCTCCCTGTTGTCAGTTTGTATGGTTTTGTGACACTTGCTGGAATGCCAGGCCCCAAGGCTGAGGGACTAGGAGGACCTTAGATCTGAATAACTAGACGAGAGGCTTTTGTTGGGTAGTGTTTTATTCCAGTCGTAGCAGAGACTTGGGTCACATTCCCAGTGAGAGGTGGTGATTCTGTCATCAGGACCACTGTGTTCTCACGTCTCGGGAACAGGGTTAAGAAATGTTACGTCTTCCTAAAACAGAGAAGCTGCATTGGGCAGAACATTCAGCTGACCTCGTGGTTACGTTAGGTGAGGTAAAATACTGAAAACCAACCTCTGCCAAGCACCGTGACAACCTCACCAGTGATGTCGTAGCTTTGCTTGTGGTAAAATGTTTCTGAATAGAATTCCCAGCAATCTGATTGACGCCACTGATGTCAAGTTTGTATTTCCACCCCTGTTTTTAGAAGGAAATAAAATGTGTACAGTTACTTAACTTTCAGATTTAAGTAAGCTCACTCAACTTTCAGATTTAAGTAAGCTCACTCCCTCTCAAGCTCTCTATAGAGGCCTGTAGCTAGTCCTTTATCTTTTCAGCCTTTAAGAATGATTTGAGAGTTTGATACAATTTGTTGATCATATGCTTCCTCTCTCTCGCACCTGCCTTCCTCCCCACCCACCTTCCCCCCACACTGAGTCCAAATCATGTTGCCCAAACACTTGAGAATGTACACCTTGGAGTGTGGTCAGCCTGTCAGGACCACACCCTTATAGAAAACTGACTCCCTCTCCCAGCAGCTATGCCCTGTAGCTCCCGGGAGTGGAACTTGATGCCCACCTCCCCTCCATGCTGGGATTTTTGTCTGGCTTCAGGAGCTGTCACAGTTGCTGAGTCCATGTATGCATCTGCACATCACTTAGTTTTGTGAGGCAAGTGTATTTAAACACTCCCTTCAGGGAATCTTGATTTTACTAGCACACAGTGTGGCATTTCTTCATAGATAGACACAAGTGTTTGGCTAAACAATATTCATGACCATCAGAATAACCCTGTCTGAAACATGGCAAGTGTTAGAGCGTCCTGGAGATGGCATCTCAGTTTTAGCATCTGATAAGCTTCTCAGAGCTTGGTCCTGGGAGACACCCTCAGGCAGATCCACCCACATCTTTATCATTCTAAATATAAAAGATCAGAGGCAAAGCCTGGGGCTCCGTGGAGTGCGAGCTTGCAGGGAGGCGGTGCTCCTTAGCGCACATGCTCCCACACTGCCCAGAGCCTAGGCGTCTTAAGGCCAATGAGCTGTGTCTAGGTGAGTGATGTGGAGGATAGGGTCACTAGATACCCTGACAGCACCCTCCTGCAGAAGGGCCAAGCTTTTCACCTCTGAAAACTGCCAGGGCAAGAATGAAAAGAGCCACTTAATAGGAGCTAGCTGCTGGGGGAAGAGTCCCAGGTAGGTGGGAGGCAGAATCTCATCGCTGTGAATGAATAGCGTACGCCACACCCTAGCAGTGTGGCCACTGATATGTGAAACACTTGATTGTCTTGCATGGTCAGCTGGGCCTCTCAGCCTTAATCTTCTGTTTAGAGGCAGCAAAGTCTTTGGGGGTTTTGGTGACAGTTTTCAGATCTGTGGGTATTGGGTATGCAAAGGTTCAGATGATTCCAAAGCACGTTTCTTAGCTGGTGGAGTCTGAGAGAACTGTGTCTGTCAAACATCTAATTCCCTTTGATATTTTGTGGATTTTCAAGCTAACTCATTACAATCATAAAAGCTTTTTATATAATAAAGGTTTTTCTTGAATGGAAAGAGTCCGCATTTCATCATTTGTCTTCCCTTGATAATTCTGAACCCAGCGTTTGTTGGATCTGGAAACATCAGAACTTTTAGTTTGCCCTCCACAAAGCAGGTCGTGCACCCTGCTGCTGTTGTCATGGATCTGTGCCCTTGTAGACTCTGGAGCCCGTTTTAGATCTTGTCAGTTTACTTCAGAATTCAGACATTGAAATGCACACCAAAATGTATGTGTTTCCTGTTTTCCTTTCCAGGTGCAACCTGTCAACATTATTCTTTCTGTAAAACTGACAAGTGGTGTTGTGTTCCAAGCAGCCTGGCCAGCCACACGTTCTGGTCCTCGTGCCAAGCTCCAGGCTCGCCTTGCTGTCCTGGGTGTTCATCATCTGCCTTGTCAGCCTCTTAAAAACATCCTTGCCTGTCCAAAAGCTAACCACACTGCCTCCCACACGTGATTTAGATGCTGGTGTTTAGTTTGGTCAAACGAAAGTGTGTGATGTGCGGCATCTGGTGATTGTGCCGCGTAGTTGAGCAGTGGGTGCTCGGCCTTGGGTGGGGTGGCCCTTGACACATGTTCTTTCAGCCACTGCACAGTCCTGGGGTCGCTTAAGTGACTGGGTCACAGGCCTGTTTAATTTCAAATTTGTGGCAGCTTATTTAAAAGGAAGTGTTTTCCACACTAGGCCTGACAAGCCCCTCATCTTGAGTTGGTGCCGGACTACATCTAACTTTGAGCAAATTTTTGCAGGGGCAAAAAATATATTAAGCACATTGCTTAATGGAATGAGAGGCAGCTGTGTTTCTCTTGTTACCTGACGTTTGTAATAATGTTTAAATCCAGAGCACATTTTAAAAACATATTTATTTGTTGGTGTTGGGGATGGAACATAGGGCCACACATGTGCTCATACGCTCCACTAAGCTGTACTCCAGCCCCTAAAAACCTAACTTTGAATACCTGTTTTACAGAAAATTGGCAAGAATGGTGGGTGTGATAACCCATATTTAAATTCACCAACTGTAAAACGGCTGTTTTACAGCTTCTATACATGTGTGCATGTTACTGATACTTTTTTTTTTTTTTTTTTTTTTTGAGACAGTGGCTCCTGCAGCCCCAGCTGGCCTGGTTCCAAGTGCTGGAATTAAAGGCATGTAGCACCACGCCCGGCCTGATAACATATTCTTGCACAGACGTGTGCACACATGACTTCTTTGGTCTTTCGAGAGTGGGTCACGGAACCATGCTCCTTCCCACACTCCCGGGTGGATATTCTCAAAAAGGACAGACTTCTCTATAAGCACAACCACAGCACGAGATCTACAGTCTCTGCTTTTAGCAACTGGGACCAGTCATTGCCTCACATTGCATACTTTTCACTTGAATCCAGGATCTAATGTAGGGTTTGATTTGGGGGAGGGGGAGGGGGATAAGTAAGCCGTTAACATACTTCATCAATTCCAAACCATTCATGTAGTCCTGAAATCCTCCCCACCCCTTTCTGCCCACCCCTTTCTGCCCACCCACTGTAACCTGCTCTATTCTCATCTGCCTTTTCTACATTTTTTGCCAGAATAATTTTTTCTCATTTCCCCTTCTTTTGAACACAGGAGACTTTTGCTCCGTATAAGGTCATTTTTTTGGTTCCATTACATCCTAGAAATTGCTTAGTGTTTTATACAGATCCTCTTCACTCCTGTGGCTTTGTGATATTCCACTGAATTTAATGATAGTTTATTATCCTGTGTGTCTGCCTTTTGATAGTTCCAATATTTACAATTACAAATACTAGTATAACATTATATTCATATTTTTGAAGTTACATCTTCAGAGAAAATTCTCAGAAGTGGGATCTCTGAGTGAAAGAGTAAATGCTGGTTGGGGTGAGTTAGCCAGATACTGCCACACCGCCCCCCTGCTGTGGCACCACTCCCAGATCTGCTGCACCAGAATTCATCCCTTCTCTGTTAACTAGTAAGAACCAGCCCATGCTGTTCACATGAGCTCTCCCTGGGCCTTGGCCTCTTCCTGCTGAAGCTGCCAGAGAACACCTGACTAGCTGGGAGAGTTACCAGACCCACCTGCACTTCCCCACCCCCTCCATGGAGGGTCCCCGTGGGGCCAGCCCCAGTCACTCAGCTTCAGGGCCCACACCACCTCCACTTCTCTACTTTGCTATTTATAACCAGCCCAGCTGTTCCCCATCATCCCCTCTTGGGCCTAGGCTCCTTCACCTTCCTGGGGAGCTCTTGACTAGCCTGCTTAGATCCATCCCATCCCTCCAATTTAAAAAAAAATATATATCAAAAAGAAAACCTGAAACACAGACCAACTATTCATGCCCGATTGGGAAGCAACCAAGCTATAGCAACAACAGAAACAATCAAACAAAGCAATCAAACTCAACAAAGGCAGGCCTGAGTCTCAGACACACAACTAACAAAAGAAACTTGCCCAGACCACAAAAAAAAAAAACAAAAAAACAAAAAAAAAACCAAGTAATATGAATTGAACAAATTTTAAGAACACACAAATATCTCAAAGAGGACAGGGACAAACTTGACCAAAGCTCAAGAAAACAGAAATACACATAAATGACAAAGACAATTCAGGATTTGAAAAGTGAATTCATGGAAGCAATAGAGATATTAAAGGAAACTCAGGCTGAAGATGGAATTGAGAAACGCAATAAGCCAATTTGCAATGACAGGAAATGAATGAAATGGAAAACAGTATCAAGACTGGATGATAAAGTTGAAGAATTGGACCACTCAATATGAAAACCCAAAAGGAAAAACACCACAGGAATGAAATATGCAGGAAATGTGGGACACCATGAAAAGGGAAAATTCATGCATCACAGCCATAGAGGAAGGCTAGAACCACAGATCAGTGGCATTGACCACATCTTCAACAGAATTATAGAAGAAAAATTCCCCAAATTCAAGAAAGACATTCCCATATGGATACAAAAAACACACAGAACATGGAATAGGACCAGGAAAGAAACTCCCCATGACATATCAGAGTGTGTACATACAGAATATGTACTAAATGTACAGAGCAACAGAGAATACTGAAAACTGCAAGAGGAAAAACACATTAACAAATAAACACCAGAATTACAGCTGACTTTTCAGTGCAAACTGCAAAAGCCAGAAGAGCCTGGAGCAAAGTATTTCAAGTTCTAAATGATTACAGATGCCAACTTAGAATACTTTACCAGCAAAACTCATAGTTGAAGGGGAAAGAAAAATCTTCCATGATACAAATGGGCTGAAAGAATTCATGTCCATTAACCCAGCTCTACAGAGAACAATACAAAGGACTGAAGAAAGGAATGACTATACCCAAGAGGCTACAGAAAGAAAACAGATGAAGGTACAATTATGGAAACACAGAATAGGACCGAGAACACAAAATGACAGTACTTAATATATACCTTTCAATAATAACTTTAAAAATCAATGGCCTCAACTCCCCAGTCAAAAGACAGACTAGTTGAATAGAGTAAGAAACAAAATCCATCTATTTGTTGTCTACAAGAAACTCATCTCACCCTCAAGGATAAGCAGTACCTTAGGGTGAAAAGATGGAAAAAAATATTCCAATCAAATGGCACCAAGAAACAAGCAGGTGTTGCAACTCTAATATCTAACAAAATAGGTTTCACATTAAAATTAATCAGAAAAGATCAAGAAGGTCACTTCATTCTGATCAAGGGAACAATTGACCAAGAAGACTTTACAGTCATGAACATATATGCACCAAACTGTATGGCACCCAGTTAAAAACAGTACTTTAGGATTTCAAGACACACAGTAACCCCAACTCAATAAGTGACTTCACTCTACTCTCTCCAGGAGACAGGTACCTGAACTGGACAAAGAATAAACAGAGAAACATCTGAATTAAATGATATCATACATCAAATGGACCTAACAGACATCTACAAAATATTCCACCAAAGAATACACAGTCTACTCAGCAGCCCATGGAAATTTCTCTATAAATGAACCTTAAGAAACACAAAAAAGAAATAATTCCATGCATTATATCAGACCACAACACAATAAAGTTTAAAATCAACAGCAAAAGAAGCTATAGCAACTACACAAACTCCTGGAGATTAAAGCAATATGCTTCGGAATGACAAATGGGTTAAAAAGGAAATCAAGAAAGAAAAATATTCCTGGAACTAAATGAAAATGATAATACAACACAACAAAAATTCTGGGACACATTAAAAGCAGTCCCAAGAGGGAAGTTTATAGCTCTAAGCACCTATTAAATCAGAAAGCACAAATACACGACTTAATGGTACAACTCGAGAATCTAGAAAGGCAAGACAAACCAAGCCCAAACCCAGCAGACGGGAATAAATAGCAAACAGCAGAAATCATTGAGCTAGAAATAAAGAATCAATGACTCTAAGAGCTGGCTCTTGGAAAAAATAAACAAGACACAGACTCTTAGCCCAGTTAACAAAAGAACAAGCAAATCCAAGTCAATCAGAGATGAAAGAGAAAACATCACAACAGACACTAAAAAGATCCAGAATATTATAAGGGAATAATTTAAAAACTTATACTCAAATTTGAAAAACTAAAAGAAATGGAGACGCCACCAAAGTTAACCAAGAAGAAATCAACAGCTTAAACAGACCCATAACAAAAGCATCCTGACTTTAAGAAAGCCCAGGCGCAGATGACGCAGACGAATTCACAGCAGTATTTTACCAGACCTTCAAAGAAGATCTACAACCAATACCACTTAAATTACTCAGAAAGATAGAACAGAGGGAGAACTCCCAAACTCCTCCTTTGACACCAGTGTCACTCTAATACCAAAACCAGGAAAAGACAACAAAAAAACTGTAGACCCGTATCACTAATGAATATAGATGCAAAACTTCTCATAAAATACTCAGAAATTGCATAAGACACATCAAAAAGTTCATCCGCCATTATCAAATAGGCTTTATTTCAGAGACGTGAGGCTACTTCAATAT